TCGCATGGTCATCCGCTCAAGATTTGTCGAGTCATATGTAATAATCGTTTATAATCTGTATTATTATTTCAGACGTTCATTACGATTGGTACATGTAAAATTGCGTTTTTAGAATTCAAAATAAACCATAATGTATTATCTTTGTTATCGCAGTCGAAAATGGAAAAGAACACATAAAAGTAAAAGAGTACTTTGTATAATGTTATGAACGTTTAATGTTAGGTGAGTGCTCGGTCAAAGATTAAAGAATAACAAGAGAGAAACATTAACGTGGTATTACACGCATATTTAGTTTTCTAACATTACCAAACGATTTTCTGAATAAATATATATTATGGAAGAACTACGTTTGAAGTATTTCCACAATATGGTACTAGAATACGTATTCTTTTCACCTTAATATAAAGCTACACGAACGATTGTACAGAACCAATTTGTACAAATGAATAGATATACAAAGTCGAGGCAGTTTATGAAACAGAATGGCCGTCTCTCCCTTTCGGAAGTGTCTGCAGTACATGTAAATGACTGAACTTATTTTTAATGTATGCTAGTTAATAGTGTCTATGGACATTCCAAGAAAAACAAAAGAAAACAAACCTTCCAAAAAAGCAGACACATTCATAATGGCATATATGTAAATCATGACTCGGTATGTAGCAGCTTTGCCGCCTTCTATGTATTTAACTATAAATATATACATAGATAAAAAGAAAAAGTTTTGCCTGAATCCAGCCTCCGACTGCTCGGTATCGAATAGAGCTTTAATAAACAAGGCTAACAACTATTATATAAGAAATGTTTTTACCAAAAAATAAGGAATTATCTACTTAAACTTCGATTTCCTTTCAAATTTCTTTAAACAATTTTTACCTTTGTATTTGAAAAATTATTTTGCAGTATTTTTCTGTGCATACGTACATGCTAATAAAGCTATTAAAATTGTTCGATATATATACACACACACATATATATATATATATATATAAAATATTAAATATTGTACTTCAACAATGCTTGAAGAGTTTCGTTTAAACAAATGCAATTATTTTATGCAACCATAGTATTGTAACAGTGCCCAAATGAAAGACATACATAGTATATGTAAAGCATTTAAGTTGTTTTATTCTCAGTTCACACATATCATACAATTGTAAAAAGTGTTTATAGTAGGTAGAATTACGTGGAAACATGATTATTTCTCTGTTAAAATAATTTATTTTTGTTTTATTACTTGTATTGAAAAGGGATACATGTTAAGATATACATAAATGATAAAACATGCACGTAATTATATGTAATATTATGACGTAACAATACGTAGTGGGTGTTACTTTGATATGTACCTTTTTCTTCGTGAACTTCTTTTTATGCTCAATTCGACCGAACTGGCGGAAGAACAAGCTCGACTTATTCTGGATTTTTGTACGACATACGTTTGTGAGTGTTGACGCTAATACTGTACATACTATGTATGCGTGTGAGTGTGTATGTGTATATATATATATAATTCTTTATGTATATATGAATTATTTATTAAGAATTCTGTAATTTTCAAACGTTTCGTTTCATGCCCAATACAGTTAACTAGCCTACAGCCGTGATATAATTTTAATGAAAATTAAAGTTTCATCGGACAGTAAATTACTTTACTTCTGAATAAAGTCTCTAATGAATTTTCTTGCAATTTGTTGATACAATTATACATGGCATTAAGCTCCAACAATAACTTTGAAATATAAAAACAATGATGATGTTGATTTAGAATAATTATCGCATTGTACAGTATGAAATTTTTATGTAAAAATTATGTGTGAATGAATTTCTTCAGAAGCAAAGAAATTATAAAATAAAAATTGCACATAAATCATTGGGCACACTTAGCATAAAATAAAGCAAACATTTCGTTCAATTTAAGCGGCATTTTTTATCAGGATCATCACCTATACAATATAATAATTTATTAAATGATATTAAAAGCATTATTTTATATGCGATGATTCTGTACACTAAATGCCTAATTATCAATATTTCCTTTTTTCTTTATATCTGACATTTTTATCCAGAGTGTCAGTTAATTGTGCCAGCAAGGAAAACAACTGCAATTGTGCTAATAAATAAGTAAATAATTGTCAACTTTTTAAATGTGAAGTAGTATAAAAATATATATGTACACATGTATATATATTTTTATGTATATATATGCGTGTGTGTATATGTATATACATGCGTGTATGTGTATGCGCGCGCGTATGTATGTATGTTGTACGTATGTATGTGAGTGTGTTTGTAATATATATATATATATATATATATATATAAATATGTGTACATCTAATATGTATATATTACAATACACATTGCACAAAGAAACAAATTTTAATAAAACTTCATACATTATTGGTACAGGAACGACGAGAATGTTTAGTTCAATTTTTATGTTGTTCTTAAATATCAATATTTAATGCAATTTGTACTTATTCATTTATCATAAGATTTTGTCATCCACTTAAATTATATATTTCTTATATTCGAAATAATTTTGTACTTGAAAAATGTAAAAAGTATAATTTTCGACATCTATGGATCAGTTCGTACGATTATTTATTACTTTAAAATGCTTGTAATTTTTTAGAGAATAAATAGAACACCGATGTAAATCTTATTTTAAATTTTATTTCATTTTTTGGAGTACTGTATTTCAGTGCATATGTACATAAATATTATATTAACTCTATACATATACAATACACTGGAATGAGTGCATTGTGCCGTTTGTACTCATTTTGTTCAAAAGTTATCGATATCATGTACTACTTCACGTTTTCTGTATTAAGTGTAAAATATTGTCTCACGTTGACGTAAAACATCTTTTTAGCTGTGATGTTAACAATAGAGAATTCGTATAGAGATGCAAAGCAAAAGGAAAAATAGTATAATATAAATGAATTTCGTGTTATATTTATTATAATGACAATTCAGTATTATGGTATGTACCACTGTTTGCAGAATAAGAATTCTGCTACCAGTTAACGTCATTGCTAACGAAATGTGAGAAGAAATTATTAACAATACAGATTTAAAAATTACAACGAGGCACAAAATTTTTAGGACCCTGAAACTTATAAAAAATCAAGAATCAGATTTAAGATTTCATCAAGTATACGTGTGAGAAATTAAAGTAATAAAAGAGAAATAACAGCAAAGCAGTTATCAAATAAACAATTATAACGATAACATTATTATCGCTACCATTATTACTGCTAGTATTACAATTATGACTACTACTATTACTATGCTAATGTTAGTGATACCACTATCATAAACATTACTATATGTATATATATATATATATATACGTATATGTATACTATATGTATATATATGTATATATATATATGTACAACTACAGCTAATATCATTACCAATATAAATTGTCCTTGTAATTTTTATATGCCAAGTGTATACTTTAATAGGATAAATTGAAAAATATGAAAAACGAGTCACAGTAAATGTAACATAAGAGCCCTACTTTAATATAAGAAGGGTACAAACTATGTTAACTGAACTATAAATTATAAATACTGTATAAGACGATAAATAATAATTATTATTATCATTATTATAACTATTATTAATTGAATTAGCTAATTGTAATCTACCCATCAACCATTTTCAAATAACGAAAATTTGAGTCTGTAATTCGTGTATAACAAAAATCAATCTGTACAATGTTGCTGTTATTATTGTTGTTTTTTACTATCCTTAAATCATGTACAATTATTTAAGAAACAGATATGATCATAAACGAATATAAAAAAACTATAAATTTATGGAAAGAAGACAATTATTCCGATATTTCTTTATTCATAAATCGATGGATCTCGATTAATTTATTTATTATATATTCTTTCGGTTAATATTATTTAGATTATTTGAGATCGTTAAAACCTGAAATATTGTCCCTCCGGAACACGTGTGAAGTATAACCTAAAAATGTTCAAGTTTTTATCTTTCAGGATATTATATTTTATATTGTGTTTTATTAATTTTGCACTAAGTATCGTTGAAAATGACTTTTGTGAAGAAGCAAACGAGTATGAAGAGACTAATAATAAATGTAACATCCAATCACGCTATTCACGAAATCGGTTTGAAATCATTTTACATTTTATTCCTGATGCATAAAATTAATTATACTTTTATAAACAATCATTTTTTAGTTATATACTTTATGATGTTAATCCGTCAGAAGGTTTCAATTTAAGAAGAGATGTTTACATTCGTGTTGCAGTTTTTATACAAAATTTGATTAAACAAGAAAAAGAATTCAAATGGCAATTAGTTTTACCACCGTGGGGTACGATTATAACTTATCAGTAGTTTTTTCAATATGATTTTTCTTTTTCTAATTAATATCCTTTTATTTATAGGTAATTTATATCATTGGCGAAGCAAACATATAGGAATTCAGACGCAACTGTCTTGGGGATTATTTTTTGATATTGCTAGTTTACAGAAATATATACCAGTTATTGAAATGTACCAGTTTTTACAAGGTATAAAATTTTATTCATTCATTTGCATTTATAAAATTAACAGATGTTCATATTTCTAGAGTATGCTTCAGAAAATAAAATAACGCATCTTGATGTTACATATATCTTACAAAATGATGAAGAAATGTTTAAAACAGGAAAATTTGAAGACAAAAATGAAATAATAGAATGTGGAGATAAATCTTTATGGTATCACAAAGTTGCGCCCAATGAATACATTGGATATTTTTGGGGCTACCGTAATATAACTTCCAAAGTTGTCAAGTGTATTAAGTTTCACGGTACAATATCAAACCTTAAAATAAATTTAAAACCTACTGTTTATAGGTAAGAAGGTACAATGTGTTTTTTATATTAATTATTGCTATTATCATTATTACTTCATATAATTCACTAGCTTATTTATTGTTGCAGGTCTGTAATGTTTGATCGCATGGAAATTGCATTACACGATTTCTATGGTACAAAAGAATATTGGAGAGTTAGACGAAGTATGAGGTATAATTCCGATTTGTATAATATTGCTAATGAATATAGGAAAATTTTTCTTAATTCAACAAATAAATACGATAATACAGAACTACCGAATGACTGGACTAAGGAAAAGGTATTTAGTTATAAGCATTATAAAATGCGACGCTTCAGATGAAATTATCTCATTATAGAATAGAAGAAATGCAGTTGGAGGGCCATATTTATCAGTACATTTGAGAAGACGTGATTTTCTAGTTGGTCGTGCTTCGACAGTACCATCAATAAAATCTGCTGCTTTACAGCTGAGAATACTGTTAGATAAACTGGGATTAAAACACTTATTTGTTGCTACTGATGCTCCGGAAGAAGGTAATTTTCGTATAAAAGATTTTAGTAAATATACTGATTAAATTTTAATCCTTGCAGAATTCAAAGAACTTGAAGGACATTTATCTGACTACACGGTTCATAAATTTATTCCATCGACTCACATACTAAATAATTTTAAAGATGGCGGAGTTGCAATTGTGGATCAAATAATATGCTCTTATGCCAGGTAAGAATTAATAACGATATCTTTTTCTATTACTATAAACAAAATGAATGTATTACTTGCATTCTCTTCATAGGTATTTTGTAGGAACACACGAGTCAACTTTTACATTTAGAATACAAGAAGATAGAGAAATAATTGGTTTTCCTACTGAAACAACATTTAATCACTTATGTAAAGAAGGTGGAACATGTAATTCTAATGGATATTGGAAAATTGTTTGGTAGTAGCTAGTTCGATAATATGCATTATATATGATGTTACATTTAACTGACTGATTTTTAGATGTAAAGTTTACTGTAATATATAAATACATTGTTTTTTGTACAGTTAAATATCATCGATGATAATCATTTTCTATGAACGATATTTTTCTTAACTTATTGTAGTCTTACCAATTAATTCTTGTTCACGACGTACTTCTTGTTCTCGTTGTCGTTCTCTGTTCAAGGCCACTTTTTGCTTTATCTGTTTCACCATCCTTGCTCGTTTCTATGTAAAAATACCATTGTACTAACACCGTGTACAAATCATATATAAATTATAAATACTTACTTTCAATTTGAAGATTCGTTCATGAACAGAAATCATTTCTTTCCTCATTAAATTTAACTTCCCTTGATAAAGTTCAATAGTTTGAAACTGTAATATATTCTTTATATTCTATATATTCTTCTTTATATACATATTCTTTATTAGAGCAAGTCGAAACATATTGCCATATAAATTCTTACCATTTCAATCAATTTGGGTTTATTGCAAATTTCGTGAAACTTTTTATTTTCAATTTGCATCTGACGAAGTAAAGTTTCTTGTTTATTTCTAAATAAAGGTAACAAGAAACACAAGTATTGGTAACGTTAATACATTTTAAACAGCAGTCTTTCACATTTTCTTGGTTTGGTTAGGGCTATTACTTTTCACATTATCATACTTAATGCATTGATATTTAATGCCACTGTGTCTAACTTTATTTGAAGTTTCTCGTTGCAAGTTGTATTCAACAGAAAAATGTTTGAATGCTTCAGTATCAGTTTATCCTTCAAGCCCGGACAAAGAGCTGGTTGCAATGTTTCTAAAATATCAGATGCAATTCTCTACTAGATATGACTTACGTTTAGAAACCTCGAACAGTATTGAATGTAGCAACATTAAGTGTAGCAACGCAAAGTATAATATTGTGAAGTGTATTAATACTTTTCATTTCTTCTTACGTTATTTCAGTAAATTCTTTTTGAACTTGTTCCAATGGTAGTTGTTCAATATTTAATAAACTTTCAACTAACTTGCTTGCAACTTCTGAAAAATTCACTTCGACTTCATTGCTGAAAAATGCAAAAATATTTATTATTCACATGTAGCTGTCATTGGCTGATAACATAAATATATTAATGGAAATGACAACTTACGTATCGTGTTTATCAATTTGTAACTGAATTTTCTTCACCTCTACCTCTTCCATGTCTGTCATCATTTTGTAATTCTAATGTTTTTATAAAATCAATCAATCAATCAGTTGCGAGAGACAAAATATCCTTAATGCGATTTATCGCCCTCATGCGGCGACTTGCAAAAGTTCGTCGACCTTTGTCTATCTTATGTGTGTTTGGTTAAGAGAGACAAGGATAGTTTTTGCAGAAATGTGGAAAACACGAATTCCTATTGCCAATAGCATTTTGTTAAAAAGTAATATTTCGCCATAATTTCTTTTGCATGCTATTCTCAGAACTTTAGTCTAGGTCGGTATGGAGCCTGATTTTGCAATTTTGTCCAAACAGATTTCATAAGGTTTTCAAAATAACCAAATAAAAGTTTGATGTAAACAACAACATGAACCATATATGCCTTTTACATATACACACATAAGCAAATACAAGTTGGAGTTTGTTAAAAGTTGAGGTCACTTGCTGGACATGAATATCAACCATGTTTTTATTATGTTATACACATTTTAAAAAATTCATTTTACTTGGATCTCTAGTATGTGTTTATCTCGTGGTCGTGATATAGTGTGAACCTAACCAAGAAAACAGTGGCGAAGAAAAATATTTACTGTTTATGAAGTGATGTAATATGTAAAAAACTGAATGGACGTTTTTATTTGAGATGGGGTGCCTTCCAAATAGAGGATATATTATGGTAGCTCCCAGAGTAAACACTGTAGCAGTGCTTCTAAATATAGGATTTATTTTTAGGTTGGAGCTAGCCATAGTTTGAATCAAGAATTTAATCTAAAACTGCATTTCTAAAGGGTTTTGTAATAGGTGCGAAAGATCTCTGTTCTTAAACATCGATTATCTATTTCTTGTTTTACATTTATTTCATCCCTATATTATTTCTTATTAATTAAATTTATATATCAGTTATACTAACATTTATATTTGAGTATTTATTGCATTTCTGCAAATTAGTTTAAACATTAATATACAATAATGACAGAAGTACAAAAGGAGTAGCGTTGTAAATTATGTTCTTGCAGTGACAAAAATGGCGAATGACTTAATAACGAAAGGTAAAGATAGATTACAGGAAATTAGTACAAAATTAGAGCAAAGTCACTTGGTTTATTTACAAACGGACGATAGTCCTTTGAAATTGCAACAGCGTCACAAACTAGAAGGTAAATTTTACTTAATGCGTAGCAAAGAAATTAAATGGTTAACTTTAATAAATTCAATCATATATGTTGAAGGTTTTATCAAAGAGTACCTTTGCCTTGTTCCAAATGAAAACAAATACGTATTTCAAGAAACTGCAGATATATTACATAGATCAGCAGCTACGTTACAAGATTTTAGCGGATATAGAGCTGTAACTGCCTGGAGCGCTATTTCTCTATACGCTGCCAATCTTCTGGCTCAACCATGGAGGAAAGAATATAGAACTTTGAGGGTTAATATTTCTAAAATTTGTTATACGTGATCCTACAACAATGTAAAATATCAAATTAATTTGTTTCTGTTTCTTTAGACTTACAGTGGATATTATAAACACGAGGTAGAAGCAAATTTAATTGGGGCAGAGTTAATGTTTGAACAAATGGGATACAAACATACAGGGTTAGGAGTACTCACTTTAGAAGGTCCTATTGACCCTGATAAGGTGTCTAGCGTTAGCAGAGACGCGATCGTTGCTTTTGTTGAATGTCAGGTAATATTGGATACGCGAACCTTGAAATGAATTTTTATGAAACCTATTTAATCGGATTAATTATCTTAAATACAGATTTTAAAACAAATATGGGAGAATGTTTCACAGAATTGTACCATCTCATGGTTGGAAGTCTTAGAATTTCGAGAAAATCATGTTGGTACACCGGAGCAGGCGATTAGAGCGTTAAATTATCGGTTTCTTGAAAAAATGCATCAAAATCGGCCAAAGGCAGAAAATTATAGGGAATATCATTATCCACAACCCACGTGTACAGATGCAGCATCGCCGTCAGTTCCATATCACATAATGCCTCCCAATTATAATATGCCAATGCCTGCATGCCAGTCAGATTATCGGTACATAGAAGATACAAATACAATACCTGGAAATTACAGATATTTTCAGCCAATGGATCACGGTTTCGTCAATCGATGTAGTGCCTATGGATGTTTGCCACACAGCAACAAATATTTAAGCGGTGTTAATCCTTATTATACTACAATGCCAGCATACACGAGAGTACCGACGTGTAGATTAATCGAGCTTGATATGCCAGTATCTGTTGCGAATTATGATAAATTACATAATCGAAAGTCTTCTCATCGAATATCAGATTTGGATGACGTAGTTTTTTATAAAAGACAATCTAGTGACGGAAACCATTACGACTATGGAAGGATAGATAAGAAATTTACGAAATCGGTCAGCGAGAAAAATAATTATGATTCGTGGGATTTTGTATATAGAAATCTAGAAAGTTTAGGATATTCTAAGGATCTTGGAGATCGAGAGGACGTATTACACAAACGAGAGTATGATTCGCGAATGGGTAAACAAAAATTATATAAACATAATGATAGCGATGAGAAATTTAGTACGCATCGTTTTGATAAAAATAAAGGTGGCAGAATCGATGTGAATGAAATAGATTCGGGTATGACAAACGGTCGGCATCATCACGATACGTTGCCTTTCAAAAAAAAGTCTTCTTCTTTTGACTTAATGGACTCCAATAAGTATCACGATACGTTTTCCGAGAATCATTTATCTTCTCATAACAAAGAGAAAAAACACGGTAGTCAAACACTTCCGCTTCAGCGTTCTCATAGGTCATCGGATCAAATTGTCAAAATTGCAGATACATTAAAAAACTTGGAACTTTCTCGTTCGGAAAGAGAAAATGCAAAAGAAAATGCATCCGTGGGATGGAATTGTGCTACTTGCACTTATCTGAATTCTTCGTCGAAAGAAATTTGTGAAATGTGCGGAAAATCGAGGCATAAAGGAAACGAGGATAAGCCATTAGCAAGTGGCGGGAAAGAATGTCCAAAATGTACGTTAGTTAATGAAAAGAACGTTTCCATCTGTGATGCGTGTGGCACCAGCTTAAAAGATTCACCTACCTATATTTAGATAAACTAATTGGTAAAATTTTATATATGTATTTAAACTGAATAGAAATGGTGAACACATTGCCCGGATACTTGATACTATTCTAATATTAATATTTAAGGTGTTTGAAAGAAAGTGTTGATAAATACGTGTACCAGTTTACAACATTTGGTACAAGTAGTAACACATTTTTTTCTGATCACTTGATTTAGAAAAGAATTTTTAAAGTATTACCATTATATTAATCGAATTTAAAATTTTTCAAAACACATGTATAACGGAAATATAAAAGTATTTATTTAAAACTGTTCAAGTAGATTTGTGATATGGATATATTAGTATTATGATAATATTGTGATGGCCTATTATTTGTTGTTTGGACAGAATAAAAATAAACATATGCGGATAAGAAATACATTTTGATTCTAATCAAAATTAAAATAAAGAGTAATTAAAAAACTATTACTCGATTAAATTATTACGAAATTGTTTATTTTCGCTGAACGTTTAACAAAAGTATCTGCATGTGTTTATGTAAAAGTTAGGCAACTAAAAACTCATCATCGATATTTGATAGCCTAAATAGTTTGTAATACCACGAATAATATGAAAATTATTTATTATACAACATATATACTGATGTCCATAACAAAAATAAAACGGAAAAAGAAAGCAGAAAAATAATTGTATGTTATATGTATTGGAATGTTGTTTAGAAGAAAAGAGATATAAATTGGTATTGTTATAGTGTGTATTGCAAAGGTATACTGCAAAGTTATAAGATTTTATTTTATTTTTGTCAAATTGTAAATTATTGTTTTCTATTTGTTAATTTTTATTAATGTTGACATAACAAAATCAATTGTTTTAACTGCCGAGCAATTATTGGAAATTGTACGTTGTTGTTTTACCTAAATCGAAAATAAGAAAGAATATTAATCGCCTTCTTCATGTTTCGAATCCTAGTCTATATAATGTTGGCCATAAAGTTAATTATTTTTAAAAAAATGGCACGATTTAAATTTGACAAATATTAAATGATTTTAAAGAAAAACTGATACAATTTACTTGGATTTAATGTCTTAATCATTTTTTCTTGACTGTGCAATATTACCATTTTATAGATTCATTTAGGAAGCAAATGTAAATTACTCGATACTAGAGAGATTGCACGATATCTTGATTAATAAAAATATGATCCGAGTCTATCGTATTTGTGTCCTGTTAATGCGTCTTCAATATTCGATTTTAATATTGCAACAGGTGATCGTTAATTGTACACTGAAACCCATAGAAAATAGTTTGGTATTTATTTGTACATTCCTGATACATCGATTAATATCTGTACACTTATTATTTTCAAAAACTGGTTTCTATCTTAAATATTTAAATAATGTATTACGATGTTTACATTACCGATGTATTTACGATAACCGAGTATCCTTTTATTGCATGTAATGGGTAGTTCTGAATTAATTTGTAAGTAAAAAATTTCATTTTTATACCTTTACTTCTTTTAAGTGTTAAAAAGAGATAGGTGTATATTTGAAATTTTTCAACATTAATTTATCAATTTACTCATTATTTTGATTTTGTAGAACATTATTGTTATTCTCAAAATTATTAAGAATAATAAACTTTATAACGATATATTTCGCTTAAAAAATGTTCTCTTTGTACTTCAAATATACAGGCTATGTTTATGTAAAAAAGAAGAAAAAAAAAAGAACAACTTTATCAAAATCTACTTTTACTATTAATACAGTCTGGTATTTTAAACGAAATAAAAGAAAGCTGCTAATATTTTTTCATCGAACGCACGTAAAATAATCTGAAAGAATAATATGGAATCAATAGGCATCTTCTAAGGTAGGAATGAACGTCGGGACAAGAACAGGATACTTGAAAAGTTTTCAAGTAGCTTGTTCTATTCTGATCTATATAAAGTAAACTATGCTTATACTGTAATATATTCTATTATGTACAAATTAATAAATAATATTTAATATACGCTATAAAAAGATGCTTAATTCACTTTGTAGTTTTAAATAACAGCATTATGTTACATGTGCTTTAGTTCATGTACTTTAAAATATATTTTAACGATTACTTGTACCTTTCGTACATTTTTCTAACAACTTAAGAGCAGCATGATGAATTTTTTCATCCAATTTATCTAAAAACGATAAAACAAATCATCGAAATTATTTTTATGGGTTACTTCACAGGATAAATTTATGATAATACTTACAAATTTTATTCTTTCCTTGTATTGGAAATTTAATTGGCAATGTACAAGGATTTTCGCATATAAAAACATAAGGACTATCGCTTTCTCCTTCAGGATAACATTTTCGGTATTCTTCTTGAGGCAGAACATCAACAACGTTTACACAGCCTAGTAAACTGCTGGTTGGATAGCTTTCGGGAAATATGATTTTTTCTGAAAAAATATAAAAGTTAGTAACAAATAAAATTTATAACGAGAACAGACCGATGTTTTTAAATTTATACTAACCATCTTTTAATACACGATAATAATGTTCCATGTTTGAAATATCCTCCATTGTTGGTGATTTAGATGTTGAAGCAATCCATAATCTTCCTCTGTGCGATGTATACCATATTCGACCTTCATGACTATAACATTCACAAAGAATTAAGAACTGTATTATATATTTGAGAAGTTGACTGAACCGAATCTTACATTTTTATCCCAGCTACTAATAAGGACGCGTAAGGCTGATGCATACTCAAACACAATCCAGAATCTGTCATTTCTAGATACTCTTTATCCTGTACAATATTTCTGATCTTAGAAGGGACGTTTCTTTTTTGTGTTCGTGGTTCAGATTCGTTTAATTCAATGTACTGTACAATAATAATGTAAATTATTTAGTAGTTTTTTTTTTTTTTTTTTTTTTTTTTTTTTTGCTGAACATTAAGATAACATTAACAATATCTTTACCATTGGACGATCAAATTCTATGTCCGGGCAGACAGTAGAATTTTGAACATCATTGATCGATTCAGAAATAGCTTGAATTTGTTCATCGTATTCATCATAATCATCATCTGGAATTTCTTCGACCACTTTTCTAGCCATGAAATCAAATGTCATGTTTGTCCTTTTATTTAAACGCGACATATGCTTTATCGCATTCATTTCTTCTTCCAACTTTTGTAACCTCTCACGTTTCTTAACATCTAACCATATGTTGTTCGACTGATAATAATCACATTCGTCGTCGATTACTTTTGTACATTGTATCCTGTAAATTTGTACAAACATTCAATTTTAATTAATTAGTAATTTGTTTTTAACCGAAATTGTACAATACATACCCGCTTTGATCATATTCAATAAGTTTGTCCCTCTGTTTTATAGATTCTTCTAAACTCTTGCTAGGTTTTTGATTGATTAATTTATTGTATAAGTTATCGGCCTGTTTATTATTGGCAGAAAGGATGGTTTGGTCTTTCGGAGAACACACAAGTTCTCCGCAAAAAAAACACGGACCAGCTCCTTCTTGAGTACAAACTATTCTACCGCAGTTGTAACAATTATTGATCAACGCGTGCCTTCTTGCCTCGCAATCACATTTATGTCTCCCTAATAAAATATAGCTAAATTAATATCGCCGTATTACAATTACACGATAATTCGTATCCTCTTTATAGCCTTAGCATACCTTTTAACTGAATTACTCTATCTTTGCCTTCTTGGGTGTATAGATTAATAAACTTGGGTTTCTGTTTCTCTACTTTCTCTGCCTTAACAACTTCTTGCATCTAAATAATGTTTAGTTACGTTACATTTCCCTGGAATATGGTAATAAAATAACATACCAACGTACCTGTTTATTTTCTTGTTTCTCTTTAGTTTTTAATTTCCCTTTCTTCTTTTCATTTTGCTTTTTCCTTGTATCATCTGTATCGTTTACTTTTTTATAACCGGTCTGGCCTTTACTCGACGCTAAAAGAATATGACAGAATAGTAAAACGCATTAAATACTGTAATAAATGTATCTTCTATACCTTGTCGTTTTTTCACGTCTATAATAAATTGCCTGTGTTTTGGATTGTTATTATCTAAGAAACTTTTGAAATAATCATCGAGATCTCTTTCATTTTGTATTTGCATTATATATCTAAAAGACAAATAATATTAATTAACCAGTTTGGTTATACAGAAACGAGTAATTTTTACAGATGCTTACTTTGTAATATCATCCGATACCGGGAAATCTAAAATTTTAGATAAATTTTCATGTAACCACCTTTCCATTTTTTTATTACGTTAATAAATGTCAGCTCCTGCAAAATAAAATAACGTTTTTTATATGAACAATTCCAATGTTGTCCAGTACGGGATCATAATATATATGTATATATACTATTTCAAATCCGCAGTGTTGGTCAGGCTGCTTCATTTAAGTTCCGTATCGCAGAGACTCTCGACGCGTGGATAACAGGAAAGCGGAACTTTAGACTTTTAAATTTTAGAATTTTTATCGCGTCTTTGGAAATTTACAATTATAAAATTTTATAAGTTGGATTATAGAGGTCGGAAAATAATATTTTATATGACGTAATTACATAACTTTTCGAGGGAAAATGGACAATAGTGGCACCTACAGGCCAAATCTGTACTTAATTTGAAGTTTAAATTACATTCGCATAAAGTAGATTATGCATTATTTTTATTTACTACATCACGGTTGAAAATTTATAATGGCTGTTCGGTATAAATATATGTTAAAATTCAATCGAGATGATTTCAGCATGGGGTATCAATATCATATTACCATTATAGAATGAACAATATAGTAAAGAAAAAAAAATGAAAATAGTCATTTAACGATAAATTACGCTAAGCGTACAGTAAGTACGATAGTATAGAATAAAAAGTTGGGTTAATTTTTCTTATCGAAACATTAAATTGAAATGTTAGGTTAAGTCAGAATAATTTTTCTACGTATTCCAGCTGCGGAACTTAAAAAATTTGCGTAGGTTAACGCGAGGCCTTCGGAACGTTTAACAAATGGATCTTCCTGCAGTTAAATTTGCATAGCTAGTCATTGGTACGTGTCGACAGAGTCACGTAGTCATGCAGACATAAGCCGGCTGTCTCAATTTCAGCCGGTGTTACATAACAATTACTGCATCACACCGATATTATTGTTGCGTTTCACGGATCCATTAGAATGTTCCATTAGCGTTCGGCATTCTTTAGAAGGATATGCACGTTTATATCGCACAAGTATGACATTTATTTTTTATATAAATATTTTTCTAAAGAAAATTTTCATAGCAATGAAAAAATATCGAAGACGGTTACGTATTTCGTATTCCATTTTAAACACATTTATGGATTTATGGTTAATAGCATATCTAATGATAAAGAAATGTAACAATTACTATGGGAATTATTGTTCTTTCTAGGAACGATCGTAGACTGGTAATCGTTAACGCTCGTTCCGTTGATCAAGTAATTTGTCAGTTGTTCGAACATCCGTTAAACGAAGAAGGAAGCGTTCAAGAAATAACCATTCCACGTGTTTAGAAGTTAGGTTCCTGTTGCACTGCGATCGAAATAGATTAATGTCGCATCGCACGGATAACGGAATATCGTAGACGTAGAACTTAGAAACATGAAATATTTAAATTCGACATACACCATCTTAAAGTATTAAGCGGCAATAGAAATTGCAGTTTAGTGCAGCTGCATGCACTCGGGTGAAGAGAACGTAAATAGGTCATCTCGCTAGTTGTTCTATTAAGATTGATCACGATGCGTATCGTAATTCGATTTCAACGAATATTTGTCAATAAGACCGAACGAATAGGAAAACAATGAAATTTCCGATGTTTCTTTGTCTAGGTAAGATTCTTGAATAAATGAAACATTTTTAATTATGTTATAGGATATTTTCGAAATAAGAAGGAAGTTTCAGGGAAAATAAATAGTAATAGCTGTTTTATCGGTTATTTATTCCGTAGACACGTTACGAAGTCGATTGGCTTGTTAGACGATAAAAGATTTCTGTACAATGAACTTTCTATATCGTTCCGCATCGAGATCATTTGATAATTAGTTTCAATCGACGGTTTCATTTGGTCGGATGCTGTTGAAAGGCATCTTCATTATTCTCACGTACAATGCTCGAATTATACGATAATAAAGTCGAAACGATTTCAACAGATTCACGGTTCCATCCTGCACCCTTTGGAACTATCGTCTCAAGGTCTACGCCGGTATAGACAATTTCGACTCGTCTTCAATAAATCGTCGTACTCAATCAACTACATTCTGCTTGTACATTCAGCAGTTCATCGCACTACTCTTCCGCTCGTCGTACCGGTATTTACTTTATTCTCAGTTAAAAATAATTTTATACCTATAATCGGAATTCGATACCAAGAATCGTAAACTTTCTCTATGTACCACTAATTAATATCCTGTTACAGAAATGATGGAAGAAGTTATGATCGTAAACATTGGGACGAAAGCGAACGTGGCTCGATAACTCGATATCCAGTTATACAGCGTTGCAGGTATCTTATCAGTTCGATTCGATAGGATCGGTGGAAAATGAAATCGAGATAAAGTGGAAGATAAAATAGCCGAGGTTCGAGTGTACGCGAATACGTAGGTACACTATCGGTTTCGATCGAATAAAGAATATCGTTTAATACGCGCGAATCGCTAGAACGCGTTTTAGTCGACGATGAATCGCCGATTAAAAATAATCATGACGAATCGTTGCTCCGAGACCTTTAACGAAGACTATTAGCAATCGTGATCGGTAAAATTAGTAATTCGTATCGAGAAATAGTCGAGGCACGTAAAAATTCTTCAGTTATAATTCTGTTCGGTTTGTTATCGTCGTCGATACAGTCTCTTTACGCAGCCGTCATCTACAGAAATACAACGAGCTGCTTGAACGAACAAGATATCGTATTTATTTGCGCTATTATACTCGACTTCTTTTAATTTTCACGTTTATCGAGGCGATAACCGATGGCTGAAAAAGATTAGCTTGCTCCTTGACTCGTACGCTATCGATGCTGTGCTATAATTGCGGAGGAAACGGCCATTGCGAATAACGCGAAGGAATATATTCTAAATTAAGAACTAGCGTGGAATTAATTTAGCTCGCAGACGCGGATAATCTGCACGACTGATGAATAATGTATTTACCTTTCCTTAGATGCATCGAAAAACTTCTACTAAACGAAGAATCGAGCAACGAATTATTTTCGCTAAAGAAGAAAAAAGTAATCGCACCTTTTTTTTCTTCAAAGTTTACCATTAAATCGATGCATATATCGTAGCGATAAAGTAATCGCGGATTCGTCCGCGAGCAGATAAGATAAAAGATAATGTTCGTCTGGCAAGGTTTATTCACAATTTACCTAGATATTGCATTTTTTCTTCGACAACTTTCTATGCACGTTCCATTAACGCCCACGTAAACGGTAAACCAGTATCGGCAGCGTACGTATTCGATCATTAGTTCGATCAGCACGGGTAAACGCGAAATTATCGTATAATTCGTAACGCGTGGTAATTCGTTTACGAACTCGACGATCGACGAAAAGAAAAAGAGAACGAAAATGATATAGCGATATGGCATCGATGAATCGGAAATTTCTTTAGTTCTGCTGGTAAGTTGCTCGATTACAGCGAACATAACGTTAGATTGCACGATAAGGGTTCGTTTGTTCGTTAATTTTAAAGGAATCGCAGATACTTTTGGGCACGCGACGCCACGATAGATGCATGTACACTTTTTCGAATCGACCGCCACGAATCGTCGAATCGCGTGCGCGGAACACAGGATAGGCGAGAGGCGCGAAGTTTGCCGCAACGTTCGAAAGTGGCCGAAGTTGGTCGAAAAAGTCCGATCGCGTATGCCGTATGCCGTATGCAACCGAGCACAGTCGACCGGCAAACTCCGTCGCGTTAAGGCGGTCCGCGTTTCTCGCGAACGATGTCGCACGCTGTCGCACGCTGTATTTCGGTGCTATTCGTGTTTCTCTTTTAAAATTCGGACAGTGAGCGAAACAGTGAGCGTCGAAGACGCGTAAATTCGGAAGAAGTCGAAAGCGATCGATCGTCGATCGTCGGTCGTCGATCATCGAATAAGATTTTTCCAACATTTTTCGTAGCAACTCGTAATTATTCGGACAGCCTTACGTAAGTGTTATAACTAGAATCGTATAGCAATCGGTAGAAAATTTCCTTATTACATATAATGAAACGTATTGGAAAAGATAGAGGATTCGCTTTATCGCGTATGACGCAAGGAGTTACGGTTTCGGCTGACAGGTAGCGCGTGTCGCGACAATCGATCGTTCTATCGAATCGTTTTAAATAGCAAATGTACTAACGTGTTCTCCTCGGAAACGTCGACTATCGCGTGCATCCGTTGTCCATTGCCGTTAATGTTTGTCGAAACTGAAAACGATACGGTTACACGTTTATATCTTAATTATATCTTAATAATTCGTATTCTTTCGCGGGACTACAGGTTCGACGATAAAAACTTTTATCGCGACGTCACCGATTAATCTTGCCGTGTAAATCGAATACCCGACGGTATCGACGGTATCGACGGTATCGAGTATCGCGAAGGGAACAAACGATGCTGAGAATCGTGTAAATGTAAGAAAATTTCGGAATTCGAAATTACCGTGAGCGTCGACGAGGTGCGACTAACAGCGAGTTATCGTTCGATATAGCCACTTGGTCGGGTCGGCAAATTTCAACCGTTACGAAGCAAGAACGACGTTGATAGCTTCAAGTGGACAAAGACGGACTCAATTTCTTGAGCATTTCTTTTTTCATGGCCGTATAATACGTAGATAGCGTTCGTAGCGTGTAACATAACCAGTGCACGATCATTTCGAGCTGCGATTCACTGACCTACATGACGACGCGTATAATTTAGCCGGACACGTTTCGGGCTTCGGGTTCCGTTCAACCTATCAACCTTTTCATCGCGTTTTCGATTGGTCGCGTCGCTCAGTTTCTTTCGTTCACGCTCGCTCGTTTCGCGGCTAAACGATCGACCGTTAAGGAGTAAGCGCTATTTTTACCTTCTCCCGTATTTATTTCGATTAGCTTATTTATTTGAATAAACAGTAAACACCGGCGAAGCACGGGGATTTACCTATATTTACTATTTTCTTCTTATATTTTTATTTCTTTACTTCGCTTATTCGTGCGGAGATGTAGTTAAGAAGGTATCGATTAGCGTTTCCGTGCATTGCCAGGGAAAATATAAAATGCAATACCGATCGTTCTAGTGACACCGAGCGTGCGACGTTCTCAACGATGCCAACTTTTTTCATAATAATTTTCCTAATAATTCTTCTATCGAAGTTTTATTCGAAAGGCAGTTGGCTCTATTAATTAGAATCGTTTTCCCCCCCCCCTGAGTGTTCGAGAGTGTCCATTGAAACGGAAGGACAACTTGGGACAAAGTCAAGTTCATTCGCGACTAATTTACATGAAAGTTGAGCGCGACTTACCTTACGCTAGTCGATCCAGAATGTCTCCCTCTAGCGTTTTCCGTAGGCTAAAATCGTCTTTCGACTTTACGAGAAATTTCTATCGCGAATCGCGAACAATTTCGGTCGAAGAAATTTCCATGAAATCCTCGCACGAAATCTATGCGGTTCTATGTATATCGACAAAAGGTTGTTCCAGTTACTTACGTGTCACGCGAAACTGAAATTCTGATCGATAAATCTGAACCGCGGTTTTAACTTACCACACTTGCACACATATCGGTCATTAAGTTTCACGAGACCTCGTGTCCTTACTCGCTCATCAGAAGAGTAATAGTAATAATTTCCTATACTTTTTATACGGATAACGTTAAAAAGATTATTTTTATTAACTGGACTACTTCGGATCTACACCGATTCTAATTAAGACGTTCGCGTCGCGACCGAAAGCAACGCGTCCTTTTCATTCTTACGTCGAACGGAAATAACGGAGCGCTATTTAAAGAAAAATTTTCTTATCGAGTCTGTAGCGCGAAGATCCATCGCGCGCGGTTGCGTTCAACATCCTAAAAATACTTGCTTGAATTTCCTCCGGTATCTCGTCTCTGTACTTTTGGGTAACAGCCAACGAGATTCGCGGCGATATCGGTAAATCGTCTCAAAGATTCTTTTTTTTTTCCGTTTCCTTCTCCTCTCTTCCATAGACTTTCGACTTTGTCCCCGAGCATTTCATAAACCGTGTTGTCGTGTCGCGATCGCGTACAGTGAGTCATTGAAACGCACAGTAGTTTGTTTCGAGAATAAAGAAAGGCGTTCGAGCAAGATAAGAATTTCGTTCCGTTTCGAGTCATGCCTCGTTCTTTCTATACTTGCTGGTATACTAAGCTGGTCTCTAAGCTTGTTTGTAAAACGATAGTCGAATGCGCGCGTTGGCCCTCGTAAACGCGACACGGGGTGACAAGAGACGGGGAGTAGACGTTCGGTAAATAGATATAGGTCAAAGATATGGGATTGTAACGAAAACGTCGAAACGCGTGAAACAGTTTGTTCGATTAGCGCTGGCCTTCTCGACGATTAGCGTGCTCCACGGAAAAAGAGAACAGAGAAGTCTCTTAATAAACTAAGTCTTTTAAATTATAGTAGGTTCTAGTTAACGGTTGTCCAAGTTTTCAGATCGGAAACGAACCGCGCGCGTAACGCGAGCTAATCGCGTTAATTGCGTTCGTTAGTCGCTGCTTGTCACCGGCCATGCACGCGCGATACGTTTGCTCTATTATCTTTTTCATCGGTATTGTTAGTCGCAAACGAACATCTTTTTTCCGATCTTCGAAACTTCAAATTTACTCGTTCGAACAGTTAGGAATTTCTGTAAAGCGGAGATTATCGAATACGCTGGCAGAACGATCGACGTAATTTAATACGCGGAAAGAAGCAAGTCCATCGATTAAGATGCATAATCGAGCAAACGTTACGTAAAACTGTATGTGTCGCTGTCTATTTTCGTAATCCGGTATTAGACGGCTCGTTAACCTAACCTTCGCGGGTTAACGCGAAATCTAATATAGCGGGATGTGTAGGTATTTTCAGGAGGATAACGAGACAGCAGGATGACAAGGAGGGATCGATGAACCCTGTTACGACGTCGCGAACACGATATCTCGTTGCCCTGGATCGAGATCAAATTGGAAAAGTTACCGAGGACAGTAAAATATGTCGCGTTCGAGACGTCCGAGCGTTTCCATCTACGATTATCCGGAACACTTGAATCCGTTCAACGACGAAGTGACCAACGGACAGCCTCCACTGTATCGCGATGGAAAAACGAAAGATTCGAAGCACAAGTTTTGGACCTTCGGCAGAAGCAGGAAGAAGAGATCGAACAGCTTCTCTATCAAATCCACCTGGTAAATACGATCGACTCGACTCCTCGGCTTACGGTTGTAACAGACAAAAATCTGTTGGATCCGATCGATTCGAAAAGTTAGACTCGCGAGTTTGTTGAACTTGAACTTATTCCCGCGGCGAAAGAATCGCGCGCAACTCGTACCTGCGTTTGGCTGCGATCCAAACGTTGCAAATAAGAGAGAACGTAGCAGACAATCGAAACATTTTCTATTTCAAGCCCAGTTTTCCAATTTTTACATTCTCGTCCAGCCAAAACGGTCCGACTACTTTGATCGATTCGTTTCACCGGTTAGATAACGATTACGTCGAAACTAAGATCGAGTATATATTTAAAATATATTCATAATATATACATTCGTAAAATCATTGGTAGAAATTTGAAGGAACATCGTCTCGTTCGAGAGTAGTCGCCGGTGAAATGTTGCTTTTACCTCCACTATATTTTCCGTCCATCGAAACAGTTCTGCTCTGATTGACGCTCCAAATAAACTAACGTCTGCTTAATAATTCACTGAAATTAGCGCATCGTCTCTTACGCTATGTGTCCCCTACTACTACCGCTCGTCTCTTATCTCTTTTATTCCTACAGAAGAGTCTTTAGCTAGACCGATCGACTAACAAATCGTCCGTTGTCCGACCGGCATTAAATTTTAATCTATCGATGTACGATACGATTATTCGGACTTACTAGCGTTGGTAAGAGGCGTTTCACGAATAAGAAACTCGTTTGCATTTGTTTTCAGGAACGGATTGTTCGGTAAACGAAAAGAAGACAAGTCGGAAGCGCAAGAGAAGAGGTCCACGATTACCACGGGTGATTGTTTAAACGCACTGTCTATAAATTTTCGTATTTTTTAGGAAATAGGATAGAATCTTGAAATAAAAGTTGCTCGATTATACTCTTTTTACAGTTTCGTCGACCTACAAACGAGAGCCTTACGCGAAACCGATGCCGGCAACGCGCGCGACCAAGGATCAACAGGAGTTCGACGAGGCACTCGGTACCTTGGCGAGACGAAGAAAATATACTTTAGATAATTCAGCCTCGAGATACGGTTCGAGTTTGACCGTGAACGGTGATCCTGCTCGAATCTACGACGGTAGTCCGCAGGACACTACCGCTTCCATCATGGGTGATCTCACTCCAAAACCACCCGCGAGAAGGTGAATCGTACTTTCTCTCTCCTCGCGAAAACATCGTAATTAATAATACCTCGTATACGATAACGTCGTTTACTTTCGATTATCAGGTTCGGTCAAGTGAGTCCAAAACCAACCGATAAAATACCACCGTTGAACTTCGAGGATAAGAGTCCGCAGGAGAATGGGAGTGTGACGCTTCGCGAGAAAACGCAGGAAAGAACGCCTGTACCGCCTTTGTAAGAATTTCCCTTTCGTTAGATATTACTTGTTTCCGTTTGATCGATCCGATCGACGATATCGATATGTAATGTACGTTACAGGCGAAGATTCGGTAACAGATCGTCGCAAAGGACGCACGCGAGTGCCGTGGATTCGGAAGAGGAAGCGAGTCGATCGGGCGACGTCACGTTATGTGACGAGAACGAAAATGTTCCCGAGGATTACGTGTTCAAGAGATATTCCCAGGATGCGGTTAGAAAGTCGAATCTTTCGATAAATAGTTGCGTATCCGTTGGAAGCACGATGAGCGCGTACGGTCGTAAAAAACGTAGAGCACCACAGCCACCGCGTCGCGTAGAAAAACTAGACACCACCGAGGTAAGTTGCGAAACCGTTTTTAAAAACCTTGAAACTTCGTCATCCTCTTCTTTCTCTTATGTTCGACAGCAAGTTTCGCCTAACATAGAGCTTCGAATAGTCGAGCCAAGCGATATAGCAAGGGTTACCGAAAACATCGACCAGATGACGAAGAAAAGCAAAAATTTTGATCGAGAACAGGCCAATATCGTCGACACCGATACCGATCGCGAGAACAAGCCGTCGGAAGAAATCGCTACGGAAATTGCTTCGATTAAATCTACGGAAGATAAAGAGAATATCGCAAACTCGTACGAAATGGAAGCATCTAAGGAGAAGAATGTAATAGAAAAGGAACGGGATCAATTGGAAAGCTCGACAACGAAAGAAGAAGAAGAAACGTCGAAGAAACCGGACAACGAGGAGGATGCCGCGAAGGATGCCGCGAAGGATGCCGCGGAGAAAAACGAACATGTTCGGGTCGAGTATCACAGAACTTCTCACGAGAACATAGAAATTATCAAAGACGTTGATCGAGATGGTTCGTTATCCGAAGATGCGTTATCTAGAAGCGATAGCTTCTCGGTAAAAGATGAAATCGAGAAAATCGAGAAGCAGATAAAGGCTCTCGAGACGAGAAACGCTTCCAGGGATTCGTCGGAAGAAAAAGATGCGAACGACTTGCACGAAAACACCAGGCAATCTATTCAGGCGAATCGTCGAAACTTTTTCCAAAACATGGTGGAAAATGAAAATGATACGAGCGCGATTAAAATAGAATTTAAGGAATTCCCGAAAGAACAAAAAGACATTCGCGTGGTGAGATTGAACGAGTCGCCTGTTCCCACAACTGCGCACAGAGAACCGGTGAAAGTGATCGAGCTTCACATTTCCGAACCTATCAGGCAAAAGCCCGAAATCCTCGAAGATGTGAATCCGATACCGAAACCAAGGAGACACAGCTCGTTGAATCTGAACGAGTCACGATCGGACGTGACATCGATCGATGCACGAAACAATTTTCACTCGATCCGAGGCAAATCCTTTTAAAACCTACGTCTTACGAGATTCTGCAATTGTTTCGGCTTCGAAATTAAATCAACTTCGTTAATTTTAGTCGAAACATCCTGTAAAGACTGTGCAGACATATTGTACATGTGCCTTTATTTAACATAGAATTTTTATCGATTTTTTGATTAAGCGCTGTCCGTCGACAACGATTATTACATAAGCATGTAGTTGTATGTACTTTTCAAGAGATACCTTCTTCTGTAAATACCTCGAAAGATTAACGATCCTTACTATGCGTTTACTAGGCGTTTACTAGGCGTGTACGCGCTTCGAGCCTGGTTACAAACAAATGAAACTCTGACCGTATCTATCTCAAACTTATTTAGTCTTTCGTTATTTATTGATACAGAATAAAGTCTGAAAACTTTATTACGTTTATAATGTTACTTCCTTCTTTTTAGATGCGAGCTTCTTAAACATGCCTCATTCGTTTTTCCTTGTACTTTATAAACCTCATGATATTGTTTTTAACCGTAGACACTACCGCAATGTTATCCCCTAATGTTTTCCGTTGTTGTCGCATCTGTTCAAATCAGTAGCGGTTACATCGATAGCAGAAACTATGTTTCGCCAAAACAGACTATTAAAAAGAATATCTTACCTTGTCTTTAAAAAGTGGTACCAGACCGTACAATCTTTCTATCAATTTCGTTTCGCTCGCTATTTTATCGCTATCATCTTCCGCGTATATGTCCATTATGGCATCCATGCATTCTGCCATTACCCACACTTTTGACTCGTTCAGGCAAGTGTCCAACAAAAATATGGATATATGCTAAAAAAAAAAAAGAAATACTCTTTTTTAAAAAAAGATTATTAACGATCAAACTTCGATTTAAATATCTGATCCTTACTTTAATTAATTCGCTCGATTCGGTAACGTTATTCCTCGTTAAAACTGTAGCTAAGTTTCCCAATATTCGCAACAAATTCACTCGAATGTTAGGATCTTTGCACTGACGTTCTCCATTTAACATCGGATGAATATCGTTTAACGTTAATTGATTAAAAACGTTTACTTCTGCCTCGGATAATTTTTCGAGGGCTGCTCTCATAGCTGCGGTAGCAGATTCTAACAATTCGGTATCGTCTGGATTCGCATCTTTGAAAACAACTGTTCCGATATTGCACCACATTCTAAATTTCGAAACATCGTGATTAAATCTTTTTTTTCTTTTCTATTATTATTATTATTATTATTATTATTATTATTATTATTATTATTATTATTATATTTTTTTTTCAAAATCACAATTTTAAAGGAAAGTTTTATCAATATTTTACCTATATATATTTTCTATACCACCGAGTGTATCCATTTCTAGACACGATATCAAATTATTCAAGCACAAATAAGCTCTACAGTTTAGTATATGCATTTGCTTCAAAACAGCTTCTCCTTCCACGTTTTGTTCCAATATTTCTGCTGTATCTTTATCCACGGCTACAGTTTTATCCCATACTTTTTTTAATGTATTACAACTATTAAAAACTTCGATTATTTCCGGTGATAGAGAAGAACTTGTTTTATTATATAATTTATCATCCATACAAACATCGTTTACCCCATCAATTTCAAACTCTATATCATTTATATCGGAATCGTTGCTGTCATCGTTTTCTTGATCTTCTACGCATAAATTAGCTAAAATTTCTAATGCTTGTTGCTGCGCGCTAAGAATTTTTCTATTTGTCTGTACTTTCTTTTTTGCACTATCCGAGTAATCATTCTTTTTATGAGGTAAAATTGATGTTAAATCGGACAACAATTGTTTACAATCAATGGAGAGTGTATCGGAAAGCACACATATTACTCTCTGTACTATATCGGTCGTATCGTTATCCATCAAGTTTACTATATTAATTATTAATCCGCTAATAGCAGTTTTAAGATAAATCAAATCAGCAACATCGTTATTACCCGTCTCAAGATTTAATAATCGAGAAATAATATTTTCGCAACTACAAAGTTTTTTAATAGCAGTGGGATTGTCTTCGGACAAAGACAATAAACACTGTGCCGTTACTGTAGTAATTTCTATATTGTAAGTATTGATATCAAAAAATTTCTTCAAAATTGAAACAATATCCGCTTCGTTAGCAATTTTTACCGCATCTTCGTTATGTTCACATAGCGTCCATAATAACGTGACAACCTGAATAAATGCATCCTCTTCTGCTTTGACGTTACTTTCCTTGTCCTGGTCAGATTTCGGTTCCCATTCTGCGTAATACTATTAATAACGAGTTGATTATTACCTCTTAGAATGACAAACGTTACCGTATCTGGCTATTTTATAAACTTACGTTCTTCAATAAACTACACAATGGCGTCATAATATCATCTTTTAATAAACTTGCATGCGTTTCAGTTTTTCCATTGTCCACGATATGCCTTAAAGCACTAGCGCTATAGGCTCTCACCGTTGCATTTGGATCGATAAGCAATGGTCCTATCATTTTAGCAATTCCATCTGTCGCAACTTGTACAGCAATCGTTGAATCGTAAGACATTGATTCTAACGTTTGCAAACCGGATAATTTTTCTCCAACATTAGCAGATTGTATCTATAAATCCACATATTAATTATTACATTTATCCATGTAAAATTACAAACAAGAATTTCGTTTATGAAGGAACTAACTTCTTCGTATGCTGTTTGTAAAGCAACCTCTGAAACATTGTTAACCTTGCTATCATCTTCTAACGCTTCGAAATCCTTAACAGACGGAAGGCCCGTAGGATTTTCTTTATGAGGTTTTCTCCTCTGTCTTCTCTCTTTTCCCATTTTCCAACAATGCACTAGCAACACACAAATTTTCAATAGGTATCTTGCTTTAATACATTTCAAAAAGGTTACGCGAAACCCACGTGTTTCTTGTTATCTTCCTTTCCTCGGTGATTTTAGTGACTAAAAATATTAGTCAATGGTTTTTTATTTTTATTTCATTGGTCCTACCAATCTCACATTTTAACAACCAATTAGCATCGAGGAACGTCCTGACCAATCGGAAAAAAGCATTTCCCTTCGATGATCTCTAAATGTATTTTTGAAATTTCAGTAGCAAGAAATTACCCATAATTCCTTGCGCTGCATATGTGGTGGGACGTTTCACGCATGCGTTTTAAAAGCTTACATACCCGTATCTATGGCGTACATTCGTTAACAAATTTTTATAAATCATTTACACTTTTTTTCGACGTATACAAGTAAATAAAATTAATATTTGGAGAATATTTTTGTCTACGTTGTTCATGATTAAAGTGGACACATCACGTTTACATAATATCGAAATATGTTTTAAGAAACAGAAATGTCTAAAAAAATTTCAATCGAATACAGCACTGAAACAAGTGAATAGCTTTCGTATTTTTTTTTCTGGCGCATGCGTGATGAGATAGCTTGGGTAAACGAAATTTTGTCTATGTTTGAAAGATGAGGAATGTGCACGCGCGAGGATACGCTAGTCTTTAGCTCGCAATAGCGAACGTGACAATAAGTTTTTTGTTTTTATCTATTATTACTTGCAAATTTTGCCAAAATCAGAAAATACATCGATTAAGTGAGTAAATTTATTTTGATTTTTGTAAATTAATCTTATAAAGCTCTGACAAAAATAGTTGCTTTATTTGTTGATTTATATTTTACTGATTTTCATCTTGATTCATTTACAGACTATTTATGGTGTAAATATTCATTGTTACGACTACAAAGTATCAGAATTCAGTTTCTTTTTAAATAATTATATAAATCTTTGATTTTGTAAAAAGTAAATATATTATCGGAATATTGAATAAGTTATGCGTTAACAGATTTTTTGGTTTTTATAATAATAATAATAATAAGAATTCGAATGTTGAACTTTTCATCTCACATTGAAGACCACATTATAATGGGTTGAGTGCTAATTTTTGTAACTTTTCGTCAATTGTTTCTAGTTGTTTATTTAATATGATTGTTTTTTATTAGCAAAAAAAGTTACGGTGTTTATATGATTATTGTCAGTTAGTTTCTTTAGTTCTATTTTCTTTCTTTGTTTTTTTTTATAAGATGCCGGGTGGTTCAACTTTCAGTTGACCGGTATTGTCTATATCGGTTTAACTACGTGCTTTGTCGTGTAGAACGTGAAACATTTGAATGGTCACTGCGTGTCTCCTTAATCTTCGTTTGGTAATTAGTATAAATATTTCGTAGAGAAAGTACTTGACAGAATTTTCTTTTTCAAAAATATTTAATTTTGTTAATCACATAACGCCGGTCTACATTATAGTCGCTATTGTTATTTATAATAGACGTATGTAATATTGGTGATTACATTTTATAAATGTATATAAAAAAAAGTTGATAATAATGATGACGGTTTTATAAATTGAAGTTGTTTAACAAAATTAAATATTGTTGAATGATAAGAGAGTTTCCTGCAAATGTTTCTTTACACGTAATATATCAAAATGAAACAATTTGTGATGCAATATCATTACATTCAAATTAGGAAAAGAATATACATTTACCTACAGAAAAAAATTAGATTGTTCTTTCATTAATACGTTAATGTATACAATGCTTGGTTTCTAAATGAAGCGAATATAAAAATGCTATTTTAATGCAACAAATTAATTCAATTATGTTATAATTTTCTTCAAATTTTCATAGATAAGTGCTATCGATCATGGCTGATCAAGGTAGGGGCAGGAGTCGTGGGCGTGGAAGAGGTCAAGATGATAAAAAACCTACAATGCCGACTCAGTACCCTCAGCCTCAGGGTGCCTGGAGTCGCAGACCTGGACCATCTCAACCGCAACCAGGTCCATCTTCACAAACGCCGTATTCCAGACCACAACAGCCGCAACAGGTAACCGAAAACATACAGAAAGTATTTGTCATTTACAATATATTAATTAAATATTTTTTTATTTTCAATGTTACAATCTATTCATAATATGAATTATTATTTAGTGCATTTTTTTTTCTCTTTTTGTTTGAAAATAAGCAAACGATGTATTTATTTGGAAGAAATAATGCTGATATATTCGGAGAGTAATTTTATTAAGAAATTATGATTTAAATGTTATTCTTTTTTTTTTTTGTGTAGAGTTATTCCAAAGTAAAAGGCACGGTGAAGGTTAGTGTTTATATTATTGTTTAATGTATTCTTGTAGTTGTCTTGTTTATTTATTATTTATGCAAAATTTGTGTATTTTATTTTATTAGTAGTATCTTGATTGTTCTAGTATAACTTTAAATTTAGTGTAATAATCTTGTACATTGTACTATATACTATGTATATATTACACAAGATAATCATATTGTACAGAGTACAAAACTAAATATCAATATACGTATGTCTGTATACTTTTATTTTAAACATCGCATCTTCTTTACTATTAATGTAAAGTATTAATTTCAGTAGTCTGTTTCTGTCAAACATATTTAACTATTTGCAAATCGTTGATGTCACAGCCGACAACACGCGCTGTGGAACGCTTAGGTCCTAGAGGCGACAGCGGACCGGGATATGCAGGTGAAGCTACCTCGGAAAAAATGGATGGTAGGTCCAGCAAAATCCACTATTTGGCAGTAACATTCATTCCATTCTTCGGACCGATAAATTAAGTTTAATTAATAAATTATACACACTAAGACATTTACAACGCATCATCTTCTCTACATCTTTCTTTCTTTTTTCTTTTCTCCTTACAATCCTTACAATCCTAAAGGAATTTTCAACACAACCGTATTTAAATTTGTATTATGTATTATACACATGCTCACTACAATAAAACTATTTGTAGTTGGCGCAGGGGGCGATGTACCAACGCTTGGAAGAGGAGCTATGCGAGGTCGACGGCAGTTACCTGTAGAAATATTTACAAGACCTTCGAGCCTCGTAACCAAAAAGGGTTAGTATATTAATAAATTGTATGTTTATGCAAGGGGAGTAAAATTATTTTGCGTACATCTAATTTCTAGGTACTAGCGGACCAATAATACAGTTGCAGTCTAACTATTTTAAATTATTGACTACCACGAATTGGTGTCTATATCAGTACCGAGTCGATTTCGCTCCTGATGAAGATCGCACCGTAGTGCGGAAAGGTTTACTCAAGCTTCACAAGCAGAAACTCGGAGCGTACGTCTTCGATGGAACTGTCCTTTATTCAAGCAGGCGGGCAGATGATGTATAATCTTTTATTAAATCAACTTTATTCGTATCAAGCGTGTATAGTGTGTATAAAGAATATATGATATACATATGTGTATTACTACTTTAGGTAGAAGAATTTTGGTCCACACGACAATCAGACGGAGCCAATGTTAGAATCACTATACGCCTTGTTGGAGAATTAATGAGAAATGATCCACAGTATCTTCAATTTTTTAATATAATAATGCGCAAATGTTTGGATTTGTTGAAGCTTCAGCTTGTTGGACGGGATTACTTTGACGCTCGTAGCAAGGTATATATGTATATATGTATATAATAGCAATGTTATCCAGCTATTTATTATTTTAAAGCGCGTGTATTTCATTTGAATAATATCTAATTATATTATAGGTAGAAATACAAGAATTCAGATTAGAGCTTTGGCCTGGCTACCTTACTTCCATTAGACAGCACGAAAATGATATCCTTATGTGCGCTGAAGTAACACACAAAGTTATGCGTCAACAAACTGTACTCGATATATTAAATGATTGTTATCAGCGAAATTCTCGTTCCTGGAAAGTAAGAATATTAATTAATAATATAATTCCAATGCTGGTTATTGTACATGCGCATTAAATAACTTTTATTCTTAGGAATCGTTCGAAAGGCAAGTTACCGGTCTTGTTGTTCTTACGGATTATAATAACAACACATATCGTATAACTGACATAGATTACGACACAAATCCCACTTCTACTTTCAAGTTACGAAGTGGTGAAAGTATATCTTATAAAGATTACTATCAAAATAAATATCGGATCGGAATAAGAAATGACAGTCAACCAATGCTCGTTACAAGATTAAAACCGAAAGAACGTCATGCAGGTCAACCCGAATTGGTCTATCTTGTTCCTGAATTATGTCGTGCAACAGGTATTTGTTTTATATTTCAAATTCATACCAGTTATATTGTAAACATACTATAGAATATATCGATTAATCATTGTATCTGTATTGTAGGTTTAACTGACAATATGCGAGAGAATTTCCACTTGATGGCTGCATTAGCAAAACATACTCGAATATCTCCCAAATCACGTATAGCCAAACTAATGACTTTTAATAGACGACTTCATAGTGAAAGCGCGATACGTCAAGAACTTGATGAGTGGAATCTGAAACTTGACGATAAACTTGTTAATATAACAGGTCGTGCGTTACCGCCGGAAAAAATAATTCTCGGAGGTAATCGTCCCGTTTCCGCGGGCAAGACAGCGGACTGGACGCGGGAATTACATAATAAAGCTTTGTTTAATACCGCCAAATTATCTAACTGGGTTTTAATCTGCATGCATCGTATGAGACACGAAGTCGAGGTGAGATACTTTTAAATTCTGTACAATTAACTTCCACTATTCCTTTTATATCTTATTTTCTATCACTTTTTCGTTATTTTGTTATTTCGCTGTTCCACTAGCCAACTATTTTATATAAAAGCAAATTAACCTTTGAAATTGTATTCGTTATCACATGCATCTTCGATTTCACAGAAATTCATCAGAATGCTTCAAGAATCAGCACGTGGAATGGGTTGTACAATCGAGAACCCTAGATATTGGGATATCAACGATGATCGATCCAACACATATTCCGATACCCTCGAAAGGATAATGAGTTCTTCTAATCCTGAATTAGTTTTCTGCTTGGTATTGAACAATCGAGCCGATCGATACAGTGCTATTAAAAAGAAATGTATCGTTGACCGGCCTGTACCCTCACAAGTTTTCCTTGCGAAAAATCTCAACTCTAAAGGCGTAAGATCGATCGCTACCAAAGTAGCGATCCAATTGACTTGTAAACTTGGTGGTGCTCCATGGAGCGTGGAATTACCGCCAATTAATTTAATGGTTGTCGGTTTCGACGTGTGTCACGATCCAAGTGATAAAAGCCGAGATTTCGGTGCTATGGTTGCATCGCTTGATAAAGGTTTAACTAGATACTTCAGTGCAGTAAGCGCTCATAATTCGGGTGAAGAATTGTCGAATCAGTTCTCTGTAAATATGATGAAAGCTTTGCATTGTTACAGAAATGCAAACAAGTGTTTTCCGTCGCATATCGTAATTTATCGCGATGGCGTAGGTGAAGGTCAAGTTCCGCATGTTCGTGACCACGAATTGGAACAACTAAAATCAAAGTTGAACGAAATTTATGGAGATAATCCTGTTCGAATGGCATTTGTAATAGTTACCAAACGTATTAATACTCGTTTCTTCTATAATCAAGAAAATCCTCCACCAGGCACCGTAGTCGATGACGTAGTTACAAATCCGATGAGATACGACTTTTATATCGTATCTCAAAGTGTATGGCAAGGTACGGTAACGCCATGCGCTTACAACGTAATTGCCGATACAACTGGTTGGAAAGCAGACCAGTTACAAAGAATTACTTATAAATTATGCCATATGTACTTCAATTGGTCAGGTACTGTAAGAGTACCAGCGCCTTGCCAGTACGCTCATAAATTGGCTTTTATGGTAGCGCAGTTCATACGCCGTTCACCAAGTACACAAATGGAAACATTATTGTATTACCTCTAATTATCCTATAGAGTTTATATTTGATACAAGATATGTTAAAGCTACTTATACAACTGTATAAGTAAAAGTTGATCTGCAAGAGTACTTGTTAAAGATATTTCCAAAGGGTATATATAAGTACAAATGTTTGTTTTAGTTTTTATTTTTTTTTATAATTAAACACTTTTTTTTTCTTTTTTTTTCGTATTTTGTAAAGATACAAGTTATCTCGAAGTATTACGTAAGTTACGTAAACTATTTGGATGACGTTTTATTTTCTTTTTTTCCATATTTTTTTTTTTGCATTTAATATGACTTAAATCAAGGCTGAAATAGAATAAAATGAGAAAGAAAAGAACACATATGATAGCTGATTTATAAATTGGTGCAACAAGATCAGTATTATCTTAGTTTTGTTTTTCTTTATGTTCATATATATCTGTTGACCTAGTTTTTTTTAAATAGTTTTGTATTGTGAATAAAAACTATCTTAAATTCCGGGCGTTAATATATTTCTAATTAATGTTAATGTTAATAAGACTTCAATGGTTCAGCGACTATACTTCATTTTATTAATCTCCACATTGTGTTCGTCAAAAGAATATTAGCTATAAAAGATTTCTATGGAACATTGTGAGGTTAAACATAGAATTACGTATTGTAAATCTTACATATGATAAATGTAACATTCTATTTTAATAATAAAGTGTTTTTAAAAACAAAATGATTAAAAGTGCAATTGAAAAATCCATTGAAATTTGTAGACTACATGTTTCGCCTTTAGATGGCGCTTCACTGAACTTATTATAGCGTGAAACAACTATTCTATGGCGCACTTATTTTATTGAGACAAGTGGAATTTGTTGCAGTTGTTATCGAGCATCACGAGTGTGAACGTAGATCATTGTTCAAAAAAGAAAAACAGACGATTTTATTTTACTTCTGAAAACGAAATACAGTTAAAGGTATTTTTTATATAGAGTTATTTCAACGTTTTTTTACACGGTGCATATCATAAATGCTTTTAACGATAGTAATGTTATTAAAATTTCGAAATCTGTCCTATTCAAAACACATCTTACATATAATCTAAAATAAGTTTTATAATGTGTATGTTACGTGATACGTTTATACGTTTGTTAAATTTTGCAGAACAATGGGGGAACGTAAAGGAACAAATTTGTATTATCCACCTGATTATGATCCACGTGTTGGTGGATTAAACAAATTTCTTGGTACACATGCATTACGTGAAAGAGCGAGGAAACTCCACATGGGTATCCTTATCATCAGATTCGAGATGCCGTACAATATATGGTGCGAAGGATGTGGTAATCATATTGGAATGGGTGTACGTTATAATGCAGAGAAGAAAAAGATTGGAATGTATTATAGTACACCCTTGTATCAGTTTCGTATGAAATGTCACCTTTGCGATAATCATTTTGAAATAAAGACTGATCCTGCTGTAAGTAGCGACTTAAAACATATGGAATAAGTTGAAAAATTAACAGAAAAATGTTTCTGTTCAGAATCTAGATTATATAATAGTGAGTGGAGCAAGACGTCAAGAAAATCGGTGGGATCCAAAAGAAAATGAGCAAGTTGTACCAGAAACAAAAGAAGTATCATGTAGACTTTACGACGATGCAATGTACAAGCTGGAGCATGGTATAGAAGATAAGAAAGTAGCAAAGTCCCGTGACTCCTCGTTGGAGGGTGCATTAGCATTGAACGACGCTACTTGGAAAGACGATTATAGTTCGAACTGTGCATTACGCTCGGCATTTAGAGTAAGTTTCATGCTACTTATAAGTACTTATCGTTATTCCAGTTTTTATATCGCGAACATTTTAATCGTTATTTCCTGACTAATGCACGGTATTACAGACGAAAAAAAAGGAATTACAAAACAGACAGGGCACCGATCAAATGTTGCTTAAAAAAAGTGGACTAAACATTGATTTAGTGAACGAACACGAAGACGACATAAAGTTGGCAAAGTTATTAATGCATAAAAAAGGTATAAATTTATTACCTTAATTAATATCGATTAACTAGTCGATTAATTTCCTTAACAGTAATAATATTTGTCTTGCGAATATATTGTGATTTTAGAAACGAAAAAAACAGGGAATACTTCTTTGAAACGGTTGGTATCAATCGTTCGATCGAAAGATAAGTTAAGAAAATTATCGCAGTCCGCACCGATTAACGACGCTAAAAGACACAAGGACCAATTAACAAAGCTGCCAGAATTGCCGCAACTAGAATGCACATCAGCTAACGATGTATTAAGTAGATCGTTAGTAACATACGACAGTTCTGATACTGACAATGAATCATAGTATTAGGTATTTAAAATAAAATTATATGTACTTAGTATAGTAAATAATTTTTTTATTTATTACATACGATGTATATAATATTTATACGTAAAAATGTAAGATTAATTAGTAACGTGATAAGTAGAGTTCAGTATAATTATAATTATAATTATTAGAAATGGTTACTGTTGTATTTGTTCACGTTACTCGGTGTCCCAGTAGCGAATTTTCATCCCTGCTGGAAAGTATTTATTTTGATCTGTAGCACTATCGTGATAATTCATAAAACTACAAGATAAAAAATATTTATTACAATCGGAAACAAGTTACAGAGAATAATTGAATAAATTTACATTAAATCTTTATGCGTGTAAGTTCTAAGAATATAGATATCATTATTATGTTACACATTATTTTCTTAGAATTAGCATTACTAGAGAAAGAAACAGAATTCATACATCGACTAAAGGTTGCGGTTCTATAATCGCAGTAGTGGAAGAAATTAGTTTTTTCTTCACTACGTGTATCTTTTTATTGGAAAGACAGATAACGTAACAATGATCCGGGTATGTTATGGATATTTTATCAAAAATTTCATTGTTAGGAAACGCTTTAGGATCAATTTTATTAGTCAAAGTGACTAAACCTACGATAATGTTTGCGATTCTTTCATCATTTTCCAGTTCACCTCCAGACTAAAAAAAAGTGGTTATCAAAATTTATAAACAATAACCGTAAACTGATCGAAAAGAATAAAGAAAAATGTTATACCGTCAACACAGCTCCGTCCTCCGTTAAAATCAAATGTCCAACTTGATCCGGTATACGTTCCAGTGACAACATTATTTCTATCTGTCGCAATTATTAAAATATTAATTGTTATCGAATGAAATCGCGCAGCAAATTGCTCGAAGTTGGGTTTATTTTCGCGAAATTAAAATGTTAACCTGTTAAAAAGGAAATTGAGCAGAATACGTCGAACGCACTAGTCTGAGAAGTCTTTACATAGAGGAAATCGTTTATACAGAAAAAGACGAATTACTCGAATGAAAATTTATACCACGATTACGCAAAAGGAGAAACAAAATGAAAATTTATGAACAATCATTATAACGAATCCATAGATTTTTAGTTTGCGTGAAAGTCCTATCGCAGACTAGCTGAACAATAAACCATTAGTCGTTGTTCCGAATCTCATCGCTAGAGGACGTTGGCAATTCAGGTTTCCGAAGATTTGTTGGTAATGTACGAAAATTAGTAAATAGTTCGCAAATGAAATGTCCAACGGGAAAAAAAATTGTATAATAATTATTATTTCGGAAAAAGTGTAACATGAGCGGTAGAAAGCGATCAACATATTTCGTAATCTCGTTTGTATCTCTACCGATTGTTTCACGTCGCTAATATAGAATTCTTTTATACGTCCTACATATTTAGTAAATACGTAGAATGTACTTTCAGAATGCGTTTAGAATGATGAAAATTTGTCGCGTTTCCTCCAGGTATTCTCAGCTAGAAAAAGAATTAAACAAATATATCGAAATATATCGAAATATATGAAAGATGTCAGTAGATGTATACGCGGAAAAATTTCTTTAAACGACATAGGAAAATGAAGAGAGTATTATTAAATAGAACGCGTTGAAAAAAGAGTTATTTAACGGAATTTTCATAGGAATTTGTTAAAGTTACGGGTACGAAGAATCGCGCAGGCCAGTCTCGTCGAAGAAGAAGACGCATGCGCAGACGGTGACAGTGGTTCTCTGCGCCGATGACGTCGCGGTAGCGGCTAGCCGTCATTCACCGCGCGTCTTTCGAGCGCGTTCGTTTGGTGTGCCGCGTAGTGACATATTTTAAACGGGACGCGTACTCGAGTGATGCGAAACCACGTGGTTTCCGAGATCGTTACGGAGATTCGTGCGTAAAAACAACCGAGTGAAATAGTTGGATAAGTTTTGTTCGAAATTATTGGTACGAGCGATCGGAATGGTTTTTTCGATAGCCGTGTAACACGGATTCGCAACGCACGAAGATGTTATTGTTCGTTACCATGGTTACGAAGCGCGGGTAACCGCGATAGAGAGAGAGTAATTTGTCGTCGAAATTGGCGCGAAATCGTCGATCTTGACCGGTAGTAGGTATTCGCGTTCGTGTTCTGTAAGCGATGCGTTTTTCGAAAGAAATGATCTGAACGTTTTGCCAACGGTGCGTTTTTCGAAAGAAATCGTCGACGTTCGGTCACTGTGTGGTCGTTTAGTGCGCGAATGTATCGTGTTCCGTGAAAAGTGCGAAATGTGACTGAATGATCGTTACCGATCCGTTATTGCAACCTGGCCGGCGGTGCAACGAGCCACCCTGATATGTCCAGAAGGAAGCAGGCGAAACCTCGATCTCTGAAACGTGAGTACCTACGATCTTCTCCTCCTTTTCTTCGTTTTATCGGATACACCGAGCAAAGAATTTCATGACTCAGCCTCGAAAAGCTCGCGACGATAATTGCGCTAACGTTCGTATCGTAATTTGCGGCGCAGATGTTTCGCTTTTTATTTTTCTTTCCTTTTCGTTCATGTTTGTAAATTCGTCGTCGCTATTGCGACACGCGTGTTCGTGACACATTGTTTCGTCGAGACCTTGAGATCGTCGAATAAAGAAAAAGCGTCGACGCGTTAAAAATTTTTCGTGAAAAATATTGTTTATATAAGCGAAACGTGCTCTTATAATTTTCGGTAATTGTCCACGGGTCACGTGTCACGCTCACTAAGATGGCGTTGCAGATTCGAAATAATCGTGGCTTCGTTCGCATTTTCCATGCTTTTATCGTCGATTATTCTGCTATATTAATCGTTGGTCGTATTATTTACTAACAGTAACGTAACTGTTATTAATTTATTAAAGAAATATTTGAAGAAATACTTTATTCTTGAAACGACTGCGTCGAGCATATCGGTAAGCGCGTAAGTAGAAACGGAAACGAGATCGAGAAAGAGCGAAATCATCGAGAATCTGTCGGAGTCGATGATCGTTCGGTGGGAAATGCGGTAAAAAGGGATTACGATCGAACTCGTTCGATAATTGTCGCGTCGAGCACGTTGCGCGAACGGTGTGCATGCAGGATGCTCTAGCACACATATTCCTGGTCCGGATAATCGGAACAACAAGAGAGCAAGGATGATCGCGTTCGTTTAACGAGCGACAGAGACGAAACAATCGAGGCGAGAGGGTGAAAATAGGAAGAGGAAACGGACGTAATAGGGTAAAATCGAGAGAGAAAGAGGAATACGCGTTACGCGATCGGCAGAGAGAGGAGAGACAGAGAGCGAAGAGACGGGAATAGCGATAGAAACACACAATGGTCGGTTAAGGGGAGAAGGGGGGAGAGAGAGAGGGAGGAGTGGTAGGTTGGGGTGGTAGGAGAGAGAAGTCAGCCAGGATGGAATTAGGTGGAAACCCACGGGACTGCCGCCTCTCCCCGTGGAATTCCCGGCCTCTGTAATCACCAGTTCTCCTATCCTATCCAATTCTGGTCGCGCGTTCTCCTCGTCTCTTTTCCTCTCTGTCGGTTTCACACTTTTCTCGCTTGCTTCCTCTTTTCGGCACAACGTCGTTTCCACTTTTTACTCTTCGACCTCTTATGTTCCTCTTTTCCCGCTTCGCTCGACGTTCACCTATTCCGTTGGGTTCCTTCTTCCTCCGCTGCTTACTCTTGCTTCTCTTCTCTTCTCGGTTCGATCGGAAGAGGGTAGACAGAAGAGTTTTATCGAGCGAGGTGCGTAGAGCTTCGAAAGAACGATTAACGGTTCAATTATTGCACCGCGCCGCGAGCTTTCGACGATATCGGCTATTATACAATTGTTTAGTCGAGATCGGTAGGTTCGGTAAGCGAACGGTTAGGTAGGAGCTGCACGATTGGAAAAGAAGTAATCGGATAAACTGCCGGGACAGAGAAGCGTAAAACGTGTAGATACATAAGCATGTAAGAACTTATGCGCGTAAGTAAGAGGACTAGGCTGACGCTAGTCGGACAAGTAGTACGGGTATACGATGTGGTCAGCCATGCTAGAGCAGTCGGAGCGCGTAGATTCGGAAACAAAGTGTCTGTGCCGTGATTATCGTTTCGTCGTTATTCGATAGGAATTTATTTGGAATAATAGTATTTGTAAATGTTGAAAATTCGTGGTAACTTGGAAATTTGTATGTTGGGAAAGTTGGACCGGCGCGGCGCGGCGCGGCGCGGCGAGGAAGCGTACGTACGCGATGTAAAGGGAAATTTCATAAGAAATTATCTCGTTTCTCTCGACGTAACGTATTTCGCGTACGTTCGTGATCGACCGGTCAAGTTTGTTCTACGCGTACACACACGGGAATATAATAATTTGGCGGTGAAAGGAAGAAAGAGGGAAAGAGAAGGATAGAGAGGGTCACAGCGAGAAATGGCGAGTTCCTAGCGAAAGCAATTCGATGTCCTATCGGATCAGCAGCAACCACCACCACCACCACTACCACCGTCATAGCCATCGCCATCACCATCGCCACTCTACCAGCGAGCATCACGAACACGCGGTTAGCCACGAAATAGCAAGCTTGGCCCGATAGCATTTCGAGCATTCGTGATATAGGGTGTCGCTAATTAATGCACGATAATGAACCTGGGCGCAACCGAAGCTGTATTAATGGATTCCAATGTTCGTCATAATGTGGACAATCCGTAGGTGCATCGGAACCCGTTGGTAATTGCGTTAATGGAGGCCCATCTGTTTGCGATGTCGGCTTTCGGGCTACTTATGCTCGTCATTCCTCCATCGAATAATCATTTCCGCGAGACGCGTCAAGGCCTCCCGTACATCGAAATTCCACTAATTCCGTTCAACTATCGTTTAACGATACGTAATCGTTACATATCGATCGTTCGAGATGAAATCTTCGAGGACGACTACGACGAGCAACTCGTATTATACTCGTGTCAACTTGTCGCCTATTAAACCTTCGATGGATTTTTTCTCATCGATATTCCGATACGATTTCGTCGGATTAAAAGAGCGCGAATCGTCGCTCCTAGGATATCGGATGGGAACGTTAATCGTTACAACCAACGAATTCTATACTATTCGACGACGCAAAAGTATTATATAATTTAAGCTCGAGAATTTTCCGACATTTTGAAACGTCTAGCACGATCTACTAGCGGTATTTCTTGCCTAGCAGTCATCGACGCCCGACAAACGATTTACGGTCGCATTCAATATCGGTAATATTCGGCATCGCGTAGTAATATTCTGCTGTCCTATAATCGTAAACATTATAATCGTGAATCGTTGCGCGTTATGCTTCCCTCTGCCCCATAAATGCATAGTAACAATAACAACAACAATAACAACAACAACAATACTAATAATAATAATAATAATTATTATTATTATTACTATGATTATATGGCGGTCGTATAATCTCGAGAAAAGTAATAATTATCGAGGGTGTTTGGATTTGGTCGGATCGAAAAATCGTGGTGATTCGTGTCGAGCAGCCGAGTCGGGCACGTTCGAGACGAAACAATTGGAAGAAACGAATTCGTGTCGAGCAAAATCGTCTCCGAACTCCGAAGCCAGTGGTAACTATGTAAATTTCCAGCTTACGCTTCGAATCCCTTTAATCGCGGCTACTCTAAAACTTAATCCGCTATTAGTTTTTGCAGTGACAGCCCTAATTCCTTGCTGGTTGGTTATAACGATTATAATGCAAGTTGCAACGGCGAAATTGGGGGATTAAGTTATCGGATTTTCATGAAATTATTGTATGCAAAGTGTAGGTTTGTAGGGTCGGTGCATCGGTGCATCGGTGACAGTTTCTCGAGGCTAAACTGGAATTTCTTCTCGAATTCCTAGGGGTAGATCGGCTAATCGAGGCTAAAGTAGAAATCGTTATTAAATAATAATTGGTATCGGACGCTGTCGAAATTAATCGACTACTCTAATTACGCTCTAATCAGGAAAAAGATCCGAATCTTATCGCTATCGGCGAATACCAAAGGCTCGTGACCTTTTCGTCGCGATTTCAAGTTGGCGAGCTCGACGAGCAAACGAGAGCGGCGTACAAAAGATAGCCAACGATTCACGATCGTTGTAGCGACGCGACGCGACGCGACGCGCGATTCGCCGCAAAACGGCCAAGTCGACGGACGTCGACGCGTGGCGCTGCCTCAAAGGAATACCCCAGCCACGACTATGTCTTTCACGAGGTCTCTTCCGCTTCCTCGAAGTGGCTAGCCTTCCGCGTGCCGCCTACTTTTAACACCGACCATCGATCACGTTCGGCCTTTTGGAATTTTACCGTTCCGCCGCTAGCTAGCGGAACGAAGGAATTTTCAAATTTTTCCCGAACGCTTCGGTAGGAAATTCTTTTCGAACGTTTCGGTCGGATTCGATGTTTCCTTCGGGAAGGTAACTTCCAGTCGGCAGTCATTAATCGATATGCCGTGAATAAAGGAGGTTGCTGCGGGTTATCCAGAGCTCTCGGTATCTCTGCTCCCCCGTGTTGCAGCGACCGTACGTCTTGGATTCGTGACAGCCAGTCAGAGGTGTATCGGGGAAGGAAGGGCTGCTGCTTCTGCTTCTGGGTGGCTGGTACAAGGGAAGTCGAGAGCTGCCGGTGTTCCCAGGGGAATCTAACCCCGGGCCAGCTCTGACGCGGGCTCAGACTCCTCCGGGAACAGCGCATCCGTCGACGAACACCCTCTGGCTCCGACACGCTACCTGGAGCACCCGCTACCTGGATATTGCGGGATAACTTTGCTGTTGCCAGCCGAGAAAACAAATATCTTTTTCATTCGTTCGACTCGAATCTGGCTAAGTCGAATCGTTCCAAGATCCTCCGACAAATATCCTAACCGTATTCTACCTCGGATTCACCGTTTACGATAGCCGTCGACGTAAATCTCGCCCGTGATTATCGTTCTCCGACGATTTCCTTTTCTCTCGGATCGCTCGTGTTCGGTCGCGAATCTATCCGTAAACGTTCTCGAAAGTACAACGTTTGCCGAGTTAAGCCGCAATATGCAGTTATCCAAGACGAGCTAGCCATACTCGATGTATTTTCGAAAGGTTAAGTGTTCGATTCGCTCTTCTGTTCCGTTCGCGGTATCTCCGTTCGCGGAGACCGCTAGAAATTGGCAACGTTCTCGTCGGAGCCGCGCGCGTCCTAGAGAAAAGTTCGTCGCGCGGTCCACCGATAAGCCGATTCGATATTAGGTGGCTCCTTACGTGCTCGTATCGTAAGTAAACACGCGGCTACTACGCGAAGCTTACCGAATAGCCAATCCCCTTACGTTTACGATTATCGTTCGACCGGGTTATTTTAGCTCTGCCGCAGCGGCGAATTGTTTACAGTATTTACGACAGATCGAATCCTGGATAGGTCGGCAGACGCATACGAAGGAGAGCCGCGAGCTATTCGGTATTCCGTGTGCCGTGTGGGTCCCGTACGCGACCACGTTAACCCTATGGACCGAGAAATTGCAACTTCCGTTTAACTCTCCTCGAGTCCTTTGAACGTTAACCCTTCGCTCCGGAACTCGGTATTACCCGGTTTACTCGGTTTGCCAGGATAATCGTACATTTCGACGATACCGTTACGATACCGTTACGATACCGTTACGATACCGAAATCGTCGATGATGGATGAACTCGTCCGGTATCTTTGCTAGGCAGCTTGACAGCTGACAGGACAGAGGATGCGATCGAAGGGTGTTTGCCGGGAACGTTACCTTCACGGTTCGTGTCTTTTGGAATATTTAACAGCGTCTTCCTTCTTTTCCCCCTTCTTCTCCGCGTTAACTCCTCCGCGGGCTAATGCTCCTTTCGCGAGTCTCTTTCGAAGCTTCCCGACAATGTCACCCCACGGTAACTCGACTTTTTCCGAGTTTCCTTCAACCTGATCGACTATCCTCGAAAAAGTAAACTCGCGCGAAAGGAGAAATTGCCGCTCATAATCGTCCGGTTCTTTCGCTCGAACCGGACAGTTTTCGGGATGCATGCGAAATAACAAACGACCCGTTGGCCACGTGGACAGGGGTGTAATTTTTTAAGTTTAATTTTCTGGTCCCACGCGACAAACAGATGGCTCCGCTATACGCCAGCCATGTCACTGTGCTCCGCGGCTATATTTCACGTTGGAAACACGACTAGTCGCGTTCCGTTTCGTTCCGTTCCGTTTTCGATGATATACATATACCTATAGAACGAGAAGAATAACTTTGTCGTTCGTTGTTCGACGATTACCCCTCGCTCGAAATCGAATAAAGCGAACAGAGAGATTCGGAAAAACGAGTATATTTTTCTAACCTAAGTTTGCGCGAAAACGATGCTTACGTCCTTCCAGTGAAACGAGGTTCGTCGAGGGTCGTTCGTTTTCGTTACGAGATCGGTCGCGAATCGTTTTCGTTCGTTTCTCGGACAGCGAGGAAAAAACGCGTTATTAATCGTTACTCGGAATCCGTATTCGCGTAGCGCGAACAACTCGAAAGAGCGAAGTCGGAGAAGCTCGTTACCTTCCAACTCTCTTCTCGTTCCTTTTCTTTTCTCTTTGATTTTTTTCCTCGAATCTGTTGTCGCAAATACAGATTTCATTCTTCGTTACTGATATGCAAATGCGACGAAATTAATGGTTGCTTGTCTCTTTTCTCCGCAGGAGACGAAGAGTGGGACGAGGGAAACGAGCCGAATGTCCTGGAGCTAACCGAACAGGATAACGAGACCACGGGAATTAAGCGTGAGTCTCGCTAAATGCCTGCTGTTCGTTGTTAAATATTTGTGCGCGATCGTTTATCGGATAATTTTCTCGGTTTCAGAGGATGAAGAAGAGGAAGAGGAAGAGGAGGAACTGCAACGCGCGTTCGGTCGTCATTCCGAGGGTGAGTCGACGATCTCGGAAGTCGTCACGATCACGATTATTATTATTTCTATACATAACGGCCCGTCGCGATTATTAGTTATTCCTCGAACGATAATTTATATATCGTTCGCCGATCCAGCTAGGAGAAAATCCCGCGTATATCGTTAAGATGGCATTGTCGTAAGCCCCAAACCCGATGTATATCGACGTAATAAGCACGGTTAGATCGCGTCCTACCACCTGAGCCCGTATTACCATTTTCGAGCGCTCAGCGATTGCCGCGCCCCGAGAAGTATCTCCGAGCCCCCCTGATGCACCTCCCTCCGACAAATTCCGAGTAGATTTGCCCCGATACGAAAAGAAAGTTGCGAATAAAGAATAAAAATCGAACAAGCAACCGAAACGAGAGGAAAGGGAAGAAAGAAATTTGACTGGAGATTACAGGATTACAAGGACGGTCGTTGGTCGACGAATGCTCGACGTACCAAGTTGATGCACGCAAAACCTTGCTATCCTTCGGGACAAAGGAATCCCATATTCATAGAGTCTAAGGTGAATTGTACGTTTCTTGAGCGGCCTCGAACAATGAGACCGACGTGTCTGAACGTATTGTTAGGTCGCAACGCAATGTCCCGCGAGAACTGATAAAAGTAATGCACCAGAATGCATCGACCGCGCCTCCCTCAATTCTTGTCTATTGTTGCGCGCGTTACGCTTCTCTTCCGGCTCTATCGTCGAAAAGTGTGCGAAACCGAGAGTGTGCGCGGGCCGAGATTCGCGGGAAACTAACCCAACCCTGCCACGACTGTACGCTCGGAATATCCTGCGTGTACCGGTCGATTTTTTCGAAATTCGTTTCGACGGTAATCGAAAAAACGGAGAAACCATCTCGATGGTTTCTAGCCAAAGTAACCAGCTAGAGCGAACGATAGAGGGGAGAGGCGAGTCCCTTGGGAGTCGCTGCCCTCCTCGGGGATACAACCTCGTTCGAGGCTTCTCCGAGCCGGTTTTACCTCGGAGTGTAAAGCGCGCATTCGCGAGTACACTTGGCGAAAGGTAACCTGAAATAATAATCGGTTGGTACCGGCACGCGGATAAAAGTCGGATCTCGCTTCTCCTCGGGGAGGACGATCTCTCGCACGGGCTAACACGAAAAAGAGGAGGAAACGAATGTGTTTCGAGCTAGCGTAACAACGGCCCACCAAATTTTATAGGGGGTTAAGATTGCCACTGGAATCGTTAGACGAGATTATACGATCCTCGCTCGCTCCTATTTATTCGCGCAACCCGGACTCGACCGAAATACGTCTCGAGGATGCTTCGAGCTTTCGCTGGAATATACATAATTATTCGCCTGTAGCATTTTCCGCGCGGAAAATATATCGAGCTACGATTCCGGCTAATTCCAGCGAGAACCGAAAGCGACGCGAGAGGGTGAATCAGGAGGCGTTCGTCGAAGCGATAGAAGACGATAGAAAGCGTTGTATTCGGTAGGTAGCGCACAGGTGCATCGAGGAGTTGGCGCGCGTATCGAAGATCCACGTGTGCGTTTTATCCCTGAGAGGATTGGAACGGCAAGAAGGGGAGAGACAAGGAGGAGGAAGCTAGAGTCGGCCCCAGGGGATACGTAGAGCCGTGCCATGGCCCGAGGCAGCTCGTGTCACCTGGGACAACCTTATATCGGCGAGTACAGTCGCAACGAGAAACTGCCATTTCTACCTAAAGCCGTTTTCCTTGCTCGCGATCAACGGCCATTCTTCGACGACCAATCACCGCGCGTAATGCTCCGACAATTTTCTCCGCAAACTCTAGTCACTTTCTTCTTCTTGTATTCCTATCTTTTCGAAAATCCGAAAATCCGATAATCCCGAAATTTCTTCGAACGTTCGATCTTGGATGACCAACGTCGATTCTCGACTTTGCATTTCGATAAATAGCTAGTTGTCGTTCGTACATTCGGGAAAAGGACAATCCACCGCAAAAGCGGCTGTAACGCGGTATTTTAGTCTTTTTTCGCGTCGCGGACCAATCGCGATTCGTCGCGAAGATCGCGGAAATAAGACCGACCATAGCAAGGTCGAAAAAATGGTAAAATAAAGAGAGAGATTCGTCGAAAATCGAGAGAAACAGAAAGTAGACGGAAACAGGAAGAAAAGCAGAGCAGAGCAGAGCAGAGCATAGAAGAGTAGAGGGACGAAGAGAGTGGAAAGTGCGAAGAGGCAGCGGGGCCAGATCCCTCGGGACTCGGTGCTCTCCTCTGGCGCTGCCAGCACTCGGGAACGCGAAAGAGTGTATAGAGGAGAGAGAAGAGGAGCGAGAGGACAAGGGAAGAGGGAGAACTAATCAGCTCGACGCATGCGCACTGGGCTGTTCTCCTGGTCCCTCGGGATTCCCTTGGCATTCCCTATAATTTACCCTCGTCCAACTCCCCTCGCGTCTTCCCCTACTCTCTTCTCTCCTTCCTCTCCCTCTGCGCCCTCTTTACCTTCGTGTCCTGTTCCTCCTGCTCCTCTTGGATTCTACCGTCGTCGCTCTACTAGCTACAGGACTTTCGGTTTCCCACGGGAGACACGCGCTCTCTCTCCCTCCCTCTCTTTGGCGCGAGCGAGCCTCTACGCGTATACGCGTACATCTTCTTGCTTTCTCTTTTTTTCCTTCTTACCGGTTTTTCCAAAGGACGCGGGTGTCAAGTTTCAAGCTTTTTCCACGAAAATGCTACTTTCACGGATAGCAGAGTGGCCTCGATAACTTTCGACGAAAGTTAACGAATCGCCACGTACGACGAGAAAGAAAAATCTAACCCCCGAAAGAATTTTAAGCGAGTATCGCGTCGACTAGTCCGATTCCAAGAGGCCAACGCGAACGAACGAATCCATACTTATCAGTGTTATTTAAGAGACAGGAAAGACTCCGTTTCTCGAACAGCTTTCGCGTAATCTTGCTAGCAGCCGACACCCTCTCGCTTTTCGTCGGCCAGCATCAGTTCGGAGGGCCTTCCAAGTTCTCCCATCGGGAACCGAGATCCCTCCATTTTCTTGTGTCAGAGATTTCAATTCGTCACGAACCCCTAACCTCGCGATCGCTAAACTTTACACCGAATATACTCCAACTATTCTCTTACCGCGTTACTTCCTTTCAACTACGATAAATCTCGACACCTTTCGTTTCGTCGACCAATTATTTTTTCGCTTTTTCGCTATCGAGAGAAGACGTTGGTCCGAAACTTTCGAACCAATTAACTGGTCTTTTCGAGAGAATTCTGTCGCGTAAACAATAAAAAAAAAAAAAAAAAACTACCTACTCGGCGGCTAGTAATCATCAGAATTTGTATCGCGGAGGAAATATAGACATTCGCGCGTAGAAACATTCACCAACCGTAAATCAGCTCTCCTATGTTATTCGAGCAGCTTGCGCGAAAAATGCTTGCCGGAAAAATTGCATGCTTTTTTAATCTCCGTATCCGGGTGTAATTATTTTCTTCATCGTCACGGACGGATTTCCCCCGAATTATGCACTTGCCACCACATACACGCGTCTTCTCTCTCCTTTTCCCAGGGTTATCGTCTCGATCATTTATCTCGTCCAATTAGCTCTTGGACGAAATAGTTGAATTTTCGAAGCGTTTCTACTACTCGTACGTTAAATTCGGAAATATAGCATTCGATCGATAGAGAGAAAAATTTCAAGAGATAAATATACATACACGCGTATACATACATATAAAGAGAGAGAGAGAGAGAGAGAGAAATAAGAATAGTATCCAGAGTGGATGGACAGTCGGATCAAAGTTAAATTAACTGTTTGATCTCTGATTTCTGATGCGCTCTCTCCCGTTCTGCATTTCGGTGCGTGGAAACTATCCAGCGAGGATACGAGGGAAAATATGATACGGTCTCGAGCGGGTTAGACCTTCTAGTTCCGTCATTATAAACTCGCTCTCCCGACACTCGCTATTCCCTGCTCGTATCTAATACGATTGTACTCACCCTGGTAAACTCGTGCAGTTGCAACTGCGACCGAATCGAGCGTTCGCGGTTCCAAACATACCTACAGCGGATGCGAATATCACTCGATTACCTTTGATTCGGGATTACCTTTACGCTTATTCGCGTTACTATTACAAGAAACGATGTTTTTAGTACACGTATTCGACGCGATTCGACGTGTTCGATGCATTCGTAGGAGAAGAAGAAGAAGAAGAAGAAGAAGAAAAAGAAAAAGAGGAGGAAGAGTATACAAGCTGTTATTCGCGACACAAACGAACGAGAAGAAAGCCTGGAGGAAGTTTGCGAGGCTCGCTAATAACTCCAGGGTACCGGTGCTCGTTGTCGAGGCGCTTTAGTCTCCGCGGTAAAAGTTGGTAACTCGAGGAGATAAAGGTAGCGCGAGTCAGTGTCCCGAGGCCATACTAACGATCCACCTTCTGGATCGTGCTCGTGTCTAAGAAGGTCTCGTCTTTTGCCGGGAGATCTCGTCCTCGAACTAGTTGTCGGATCTTTGTCAGCCTCGTCGACCGATTCTTCTCGATTCGTTGCTTCGAAGCTCCCAATCGAATGAAACGATTTTTCGTTCCTCGGATCCGACACGAAGTGTTTCGATGACGGTACGTAGGTCGAAGTTCGATTCGGCGAAAAAATCTCGACTATGATCGTGTCGAACGTAATACCGCTACTACGATAATACGAAGTTGTATAACGCGACACGCGTTCAAGTTCGTTAGAGTACAGAGTACATGGTACGGAGTAAGAAATTGTATTTCTGCCGGGATGATGTTCCCGGAATACGGTGTTAAGCCGGTATTGAAATGTGACGAAGCTAGGACAGAGTATCTGGGGAGTAGAAGCGCGCTACCACCAGCCAACTCGACTTTCGTCCGAACGTACATAGGTATACGAGCGAACCTATCGGAAGCGTTGCGCTAACTTTATGCTAATCTTTCTCTCTTTGGGCCGTAACGTCGTACCGTCCCTCCGTCACTTTCGATCGAAAGATAATAATTAAAAACTAACGAACGATTTGAATTCGATGAACGAAAAATACACTGAAATAGAATAATTTGGCAGCCCGAGACGACCTGAAAGGTGGCCTGGAAGGTGGCCTGGAAGGTGGACGAGCTTATGATTCGGCGATGTCGTGTTTACGACACGTACGCAGCTGCGCGTGCAGCTTTACGCTTCGTCTCTTGTCGTCAACTATCAGCTGGGATCGATACGCGTTCGACGCGATCCGAAATTTCGCTAGATCGTTTAGTCCTTTTTCCGATAACCGGTGTTCTATAATTTATCGAATCGTCTTCGGAGATGAAATATTCCTCGGTATCGTGTTCGAAAGGACGCGTCGTAAGTCGACTTTTGGCCAGGCCAGCCTCGAAACCTTTCGAAAAGTCGTCGCGGGCAAACGGTTCGAAGAACGGTGCACCTACGTCCCAGCTGGGACATACGACCGAATTAATTCCTACGTAGCTGTCTATGTCTATAGAGGCGAATTCACCGCTACGTACACGACCGAACGAACAGACACGTACTAGCACACGGAGAAAGGCAACTTGGCCGATCCTCGTGCGGTAGCCAACTACAAGGAACAGCCATCTTTCTCGGAAAGAAATTAAACTTTTCCCCGAGGTATACCCTCTATCTTTTTCCCTCGTAGGTGTTCTCTTTGTCGGTTCGCGTCTTTTTCTTTCGATATAGCGCCGTTAGGATGGTGTAAGCTCGGAGAATACGAGCACACGGTACCGCACGGCACAGCACGGTACAGCACGGCACAGGACACGTCGCTCGAAGGGTGACTTTGGCTAGCCTATCGCTATTGTTTCTCTTATTCCCCAAAGCCCTACAGGGATGCTCCTGCCCTTAACAGCGGCGCGTGGAGGTCGGATTCCTTGGAATTCGAGCAATCCGATATCGATTTAAACGATTTAAAGAAGTCGCCGCGTACAATTTGCCAGAGATCGACAAAGTCGCGAGCTAATTTTTTCGATCGCGTAAATAATCGTACGTAGGTTACTTATCGGCGGTAGCGTCGCGCGCGTACAACGTGTCACAAAATTTCCAACCGATTCTCCTTCGTTTTTCTTCGCGTTTATTCCGCACGAAATTTCTTCGAAGTGTAACCCGATTACGTCGTAAAATTTTCCTCGAGTCGACTCGCCGCGTTCGGTTAGCGGAAGTATAGAGGACAGAGATCTCGAACGTTCCATTTCTCTATAGCCGATACTTGGATACTTCGAAGAACATAAGACGATACTTCTCGAAAGCGACATACACGAGGATAGATACTCGATAGAGGGGCACGGAGGAACGAAAGAGAAAGAAATTTGTAAAAATAGGGGTCTCGAGGTTGGCGGTAAAGAGGTTTATGAAAGAAATTTCAGATGGCGGCCGCGTTCACGACCTACCGCGAAATACCGCGAAATACCGCGAAAGCCAATTTGGGTCGAACGGTATGAGAGCCACTGGGATGCTCCCGTGGGAGCAGTGGGAACTCTCTGTAGCCGTGCTGGGGCTATAGCCTGGCTACGGCTACGCCACGGAAGGGGACTCCCCAAGGAGGTAATTACCCTCCCTACGTTCGCCCAACCACCCACAAGCCATCGCAACTTCAACTCCTACCGGACGTTACATGCTAATACAAAACCAAAACCGGTTCCCGACAGCTTCGAACACGCTCGAAATTTCTACACGCGCGAATCCCGCCACCGAGAATCGCGACTTAACCCTTTCTTCCTATCTCTGTCCATCTCCACCCTTGAAAACTTTCCTCCTTTCGAACCCTTTCGGCGCGCGCCGAGCATTTCGAGCATATGCGAAATCGGCATATCGTATTTCCGGTAGAAAAAAACAGTTCGTTTGATCCGCGTAAGTCGTGGACGCGTTCGAAACGATCGAAATTCCTCGTTAATATCGTAATATCGTAATATCGTAGTATCGAATCGAAAATTGCACCGTGCACGATACGTTTTTATTCGTTGGTTGGCCAGGCCAATTCGCCTAGCGAGTACCATATTTCGGCGGCAACGACAAACTGATTACCAACAGTGTCCCAAGCGTGGCCTTGGAACTCCCAAAAGTCATACTCGTAAAAAAAGACTATTGTACTCCGCGGACTTCCGGGTTATTTATACGAGTTATCTCTTCTCTGGAAACCACCAACTGGCTGGTTGCAACGTTTCGCGGCCATGACTTACGACCGATGATAATTCCAGAAGCTTGAAACGTTCTCCCGACTTTCGCGCTGGCATCTCGCTACCTTCTTGTTATAACTCCTCCTTATCAATGAATTATTAACGTGTTCGAATAAACAATTAAAACCGAGTAGCTAGCAGTCGACAAAAGAGTCGTGCAGCCCGCTTCGAGAATCGCGTTACTCTTTCAACGAGCTACCCTCGTGTCTTTCGATCGCTTGACGACCAACCCGTCACTCGTCGCGCTAATTCCCTTCCTGTCTACTCGGAATTATTCCTCGAAATTGTCCCTCGTTTATCGCGGATGATTTTTTCCGCGACGCGACGCGACGCGACGCGACGAGAGCTTACGCGAGAGACGTATTCCGAATAAAATGATCGATACCGGGGTGTTAAGAGGAAGAAAAAGGAAGGTAAGGTTCGTAGTTGTTTGGTACAAGTTACGCTTAAAGTTGCGCTCATACTCCGGTGGGAAATTTGAATTTTGGCCAGTTTTCCTCGATGCTGGCCCAACGTGGCTTCTGGTCTCCTATGCGCAGGAATGGGCTATGGGAGCCAATATCACCGGGCTATGCCACCCATGGGATTATCTCGGCTCTTTTCCACCCTTTCTCGTATTATACGCATCCGTGTAGCATAAGGGCTTCTCTCTGGCCCGTTTACCGTCGACCCGTGTATCCGACTTCGTTCTGCTCGATCGCCTGAAATCCCATGAAATTTCAATGTGCACACCCCTATTAGGGAGTCCAGGGTGCCCGGAATTACCGTCGCTGGCTGGATTTCGGGGCCGGCTTAATAAAAAGCGAAACCGTATGCTCTCCTCGGACATATTTCAAAGTTCTATCGAAGAAATTCGAACCGGACCTCGCGAAAAGTCCATTTAGAGGCAGCCAGTTACCGTTATTATCGACATTTCTAGCCACGGGTAAATTTATTAACAAAAGTACTCTCTGCGTTTCAGAATTTTTGCCCGAAAGAAGACCATCGTCGGTTCAAGGGGCGGATTTGGAGAACCAAAACAGTCTCGACAGCGGTAAGTCCTAACACCGTGCTTTTCTTTTTCGACTGTTGTCGCGAACCTAGCCTCCGAAGTCTCCGAGATCCCGAAAAGACGTTAAGAAGCAGCGATTAAACGGGATTTATAAAACAGTATTTTAGAAGGTCGGAAGAGAAGTTGCAAGAAAGGCGCTTACACCTAGCTCGAAAGCGTAATCGAAATTGCTCGTCGAGGTAGGAGTTTCCGCGGAATCGTGATGCGGCCGCGGTGATTCGATTACCGTACACTGTACGGCAACAGAGAGATTCGGGTTTAGTCGGAGGCCAGGCGAAGGGAAGTTGAGCGACGTGGTTTCTGATCCGTGAATAAGACCGAGAGGGTTGGTTTGGCCGGCGGCTAGCCGGATAGCTAACGCGCTCCTGACAACTGCCAACACATAAACGCGTCCCTTTACAGTAGCCGCTCTACTCTGCTGCGTGTTTTCGAATCCTCTCTCGCTGTTACCTCGCGCGCTTTGCCATCGCTCACGAATATCGCTCTTTCTCTCTTCGCTCGAGATCGATCTCGGTCGGTTTTATCGATTTTACCGATTTTACCGATTTTATCGACCGACTCCGAGAAAAACAACGCGAACTCGCGATTAACGAAATCGATCGAGCGAGAATCAACATTTTTCAACGTACGCGTCCAGCTAGTTACGACTAATTAATCGGTTCATCGGTCAGTCGATTCCTCGTTGAACCGATTCTTGATGCCCTAGAGAACGATCGAAAGTTTTAGCGCGTAACATTTCGAGCGTTCGGCTCGGAGATTGCTCCCTTCTTTCTGCTCTTAATTTAGCCATCCCCTTAGGCCTCTCTCTCTCGCTCTCTCTTTCGGTGGTTCGTCCCTCGAGCCACCCTTTGGAATTCGTTTCACATGTTTATCTTCGCCAGAGCCCGAAAGTCGATCCTCGCGATCGACCGACCGCAAGATTTAGTTGACCGAATCTACCGGAACACGAAAGGAGGGGGTTAACCGAGAAAGGGTTGCTCCTACACCGATCGTTGCGCGATACTTTTCACGTTATCCAGTATTTTCGATGAGCAGCGTCGATACGTCACCGAACGAATTCCGTCAGTCTAGTCTCGAAGCAACCTCGCTTGACCATGTTCTCTGATTAACTAAGCCGTAACAGCCTCTGTGGATACGTTGAAAATTTAAGTCCGGGCTCCGTCTTTGGACACCGGCAAACCTTCGACTTAGTCATTCATTATTCGAAAGCGGTGCAACCTGTCTTCTCCTCTGTGCACCTTCCATCACCCTCGGAACTAGACCGACATCGATTAAACGAAACAAATATATCTCGCGGAATTTCCACCGCGAAATCTGCGAAAACGACGTTAAGAACGTTCCGATCCCTGCCCATCCAAATTGTCGAATAAATCCCCGATTCCGTCGTTTACAAAATCTCTGCCGGAACGGACGATTTTCGTCGCTTCGTGCCGTTCGATTCGTCGTTTAATTGACGTTAAGTGAAAACGGTGGCAATCGCGCGTGCAAACTGGCATCGATCCGCCATCGAAACAGACGGCTAAAAAGCCTGTTGACGAACGCGCGGGAATAGAGCGTGTGGAAAGAACGAACCTGACCGGCGAGACCGTAAAAAAAGAAGAACGGGAATAACCAGTTTGAATAATCAAAGATAAGCAAAGATCAACGCGAAAATGACACGAGCGAAGAGAGAGAGAGAGAGAGAGGCGAGGAGAAGGGTCAGGAGAGTAGCCGGTGGTTGAAAATTATTTTGTCCGGGATGAAATTTGCCGTGGCAGGGATCGGGCTCGAAGTCGAGGCTAATTAGAAACGACGGACGTGGACACGGACGAGCACTTTAAACGTCTGCCAACCATCGTCCCGTTGCTTTAATTCGCTTATTATTTAATAAACTTGTGACACCTGCTCGGACCTTTGTCACGAAAGCCGTGCGCGATCAGCCACCTTCTTTTTTAACCTTCCGACAATCCCGCCGACGCGACGTTTTCGCCGAATCAACCAAAATTCTATCGTCCCTTTACATTCCCTTTCGTTCGTCGACGAGATCGTAGTCAACGCTTACGACTATCTTGTTACGCGCGAAATCAATTTCGACTCGACGAATACGCGACACCGAACCATTCCGGTGTGTAAGGGAATTTTAACGCTATTTTTTTCGTCCTGTTTGTCGGCACATATATCGTTTATTTCGACGGTAAAATATCGACGCTACAGGAAAACGCGTTGCTCGTCGTTTTAGAATTTCGTTTAAACGAATTTTTTCGGCCGTTTTCTTCATCTTACATTTTATCGCTTGTCGAGAACGTGATCCGTTCTTTTTTTTTTATATATCGAAAGAATCGCGGTAATTTTTGAATTCGTTCGCTTACCCTTCGATACAAGGATTCTGGTAGGTCTCGTATTTGTCGACCGCGTTACCGACAGCGCGATCGACTTGGTTTGTTCGTACGTAGTTGATCGGATTCTCCGTTGGCGCTGTCGCTCCGTCGGTAACAGCTCGGTCGCGTTCGTCGACCTTACCGATAAAAAGGAATCTTAATTTCTTAAAAATTCGGTGAAAAATCATGGAAACATCGTTCGGTCGATGTCGACGCGTTCGTTGATCTTAGTATTTGTTCGTTTCGAATGCAAAGTAGTCGATCGTGAAACGAAATTTTTGGAAATTTTTGGAAATTTTTGGAAATTTTAATGGACCGCGCTTATCGAGAGTCTAAGCAAATTTCTGTTCGGGCCACCTTTCTTTCTCCAAGTTTCGTGGCTTCTGCAGCTAATGAAATAATAATAAATACATACGATGCGGGAGCATTCTCCTCCTCCTCCTCCTTCTTCTTCTTCTTCTTCCTCTAGTAGCTTCTTTTTTCTACCACCCTCCTCAGGATCGTAGCGTTAGTTTTACACCCCCTTACAATACCTTGGCGTACATTACATACAAGCCGGTTATTTCTCCAGGGAGTTTTCTCTCGCGAATGCCGCTGGAACCACCGACACACCGAACGTTAGGTGTACAAGGGATTCGAGCTGAACGAGAATTTTCCTCGCAATCTTTAATGTTTTCGTTTTCGCCGAATATTATCTCTCTCTCTTTTTCTCGTTGAGAATTATTTTTCTGTCCAGGTTGTAAATTCCTTGTGGATTGGAAAAAATTTGGGAAAAATTTGTAAAAAATTTGTAAAAAATTGCTATAACGATCGAATAAAATAAGTGAACGAGCAATTATCGTATCGATCGGAATAAAAAGATGATACGAAATAGTTTGTAAAAGTCGGGAGAATTTTCGGACGCGTTTACCAACAAACGAGCTGGCAAGTTGTTCTCTTTCGGCAGACAGGTTGGGTGGTTGAATAGGCGGTGTACCAGTTGCCGTGGCTTCTCGTATACGACGGGGGCTTCCTCTCTTTCTCTCATGGCACCCACGGGAATTTCGAGGAAAACTTTGGCCAAGTCGGCCGGAGGCGAGAAATTCTTAGGGCATGAGGGGCACAGCGTCGCGGAAACTCGAGGCCAAGCAGCCAGCCGACGCTGGCGAGATTTCGCGTTATCGCGCACTCTTCGCGTAGCCTTCTGGTTATCGTTTCACCCTCGGAGAAACATCCCTTCGCCGAAAAAGAAGAATTTTTTCTTTCGACCTTCCGCCGGCCGCGTTTCTTCCTCGCTCGCTCGAATGTCTAATTGTTACCTTACCGTCGACGTACGCGCAACGTTTAATAGACGAAAGAGTCGTCGAAAATCGAGAAAAACTAAAGATAGAAAACCGACGGAACAGTTGACGCGGGAAAATCGATTTGGCGGATACGTTGTAGTCGCGTCTTTATTAAAGTGTTTGACAAAAACAAGCACGAGTTATCTGCAGGATCGCGACAAGGTGGTCGTATCCGCGAGGTGGCTCGTTTACGAATGCAAATGGGCTGAATTAATCGTAGCCAGGGTCGAGTGGCGGGTAATCATCGTTACCCGGGATTATTGTTTTCCTGGCTCGTTCCAACCGCTGAAATTCCATGCGTGGGAATCGTAATTCATGACCTAAGGAACGAGATCTTCGATAAAACGATTAGTAGGATCACACCGGTGTTCGATTCGCGAATATTTTATAGCTTTTATCGCGATTGAAATCGTCTCGTTTATACCGTCACCGACGAAAAACGCTTCTACGTAAGCCGAAATTTCCGAAGAGCTGCCAGAAGAGCTTCTCGATACAGAGTTCATCGTCTATTTCACGGTCTTACGCTGAACGCAACACCGATTTCTCTTTGTATCTCGTATGTCACGCACGCTAAACACGCCATCTTCCGCATTCGTATCTCGTACAGATATGCTCGAATAAACCTTGCCCCAGTTGTTCCGTCAAAGTATCCTTTGAAAAGGACCTTGCACCCGAATACTTATTATCTATAGATGTATCTGCATCCTCGAACGGTATACGCTTGGTTAAATCACGCATACGCGGCGATACGGAGTCGACGAAAATATCATCCGGGCAACGCTACGAAAAGAAGATTTTCTAACTGTTGCTAGCTGGATCGAACGTCTCGAGAACGATCGAACGGGGCTAGGATCGTTAATTCTGTTAGGTCTGTCGCGTCCTGGCAAGCGAAATACAAAACGGAGCCGTGCGGTGGCCGTGACGCCGAGAGACGAGAACGTAACCGCGTACAAGCATATAGCTCGTACAGGAATCTCCTGTGCGATAAAATCAGCCGACCTACACCTCGACTACTTGGAGCGCTCGTGCTCAAACTCGTGCCGAAGAAACACGCGCAAAACGCTAAACATAGTCCAGCCACAAGCTGATAACCTAGTCTCGTTCCTCCTATCGGTGCAAATTGTCGATTCGAGACGAATACGAACGACGTTGCTAGGACAGAGGTTAGCCCGAACTAGTTCGAAATTAACATTCCATCGAGTCGATGGGACGAGGCGAATATAACTTTGCCGTATAACTTTGAAGCACCGTGTATTACGTTACATATATATATATCCCTTCGCTACAATATTATCGCGAAAGA